CATCCCAGGGTTTCAGAGCCAGGAAGAGAAGGCCCCTTAACTTCTGGCTGTAAAAACCAGTGGGGATTGAGGCTGAGGGAGTCCCAGGCAGTTCTTCTTAAAGGGTCTGTGCACAGATTTATTTAGACTCACTCCCTCTGAGCTCCAGCTCTGGGGCAGCAGCTTGAAAGGGCCCAGGGTGTACGGGAAGGAACTGAGTTGTCTGACATCAGTAGTAGAGCTGGGGGGCAGCTTTCTTCCAGACAGAAGTGCTGGCAGTGGCCACTGTTCCTTCCCTGAGACCCTCCCTCTCCCTGCACATATCTGAGTCACCATCAGCCTGATTCACACTTTCCTCCCTGTCCTGGCAATTCCCCGAGAACCCACCCCACTCAACTTGCAGGCCCACCCAAGTATTTGTTTCCAGCGGCTTCTCCATACAAATGGCCTTTCTTGCTTCATGCACTGGACTTTCCTGAAATTTCTCAAACAAACAGCATCTGGCTTCTGCATACCCATACCTCTTGTGAAGTGGTCCCAGACCCGGCACTAGCAGCAGCTGACCTTGGTTCCCCGCTTGGCTTCTCCTGGGCGCCTCCAAGCCCAGCACAAGCAGCAGCCATCTGAAGACTGCTCTGTAACTCCCAGGTGGCCTCACGCTGGGCATAGGTGGTGGCTGACTTTGCACCTCCTGGGAGGCCCCAAAGCCAGTGCACCCAGTGGACAGCTTCAGACCACACCGGATTCCAACCCTACCACTTCCACAAGCAACACACTCAAGGGGTGGACTTGGTGAGCACCAAAGCCCCACTGACGCAAGTCCTGCTCCATGGGGTCAACTCTTACACGGCAGCTCCTCCACTGTAGTCGCAGCCAGTCCTCGCAGCCAATCAGCCTGGGGGGCAATCTCTCCCAGCGATGCCAACAGCAATCAAGGTTCAACCACAACAGGACAGTGCGCACAGCCCGCACAGGGAGCATCCTGCCTGGGTGACTGGGGAGGTTGCGCCTCTGGGCCCTGCAGGACACCTACCGCACAAGGCCACTCTGCCAAGTCTGGGAGATGTAGCAGCACCATCCAATACAGGGAAACAAACATAGGGAAGCCGCCAAATGAAAGAACAAGAGAAATTTCCAGGAAAAAACTAAGTGAAATAGAGGCAAGCAAACTACTAGATACAGAGTTCAAAATAATGGTTATAGGATACTCAAGAAACTTACTGAGAGCTTCAACAGCATGAAAATGGACATAGAAACCATAAAAAAATAATGAGTCAGAAATTAAGGCTACTGGAACTGAAATGAACAATAATTTACAGGGAATCAACTGTAGAGTAGATGAAGCCGATAATCAAATCAGTGATTCGGAATATAAGGAAGCAAATAACACCCAATCAAAACAGGGAAAAAAAAACCCCAAAAATAGACAATGTAAGGAGCCTCTGAAATAACTTCAAGTGCATCAACATTTGCATCATGGGGTGCCAGAAGGAGAAAAGAGAGAGAGCAAGAAATTGAAAACCTAGTTGAAAAAATAATGACCCAGTAAAGGAAATAGACACGCAAGTCTAGGAAGCACAGAGAGCCCCAAACAGGAGGCCCACACCAATACACATTATAATTAAAATGCAAAAGGTAGAATGATAAAGAGTTTTCTTGAAGAAAAAGGAGAAGGAGGAGGAGGAGGAGAAGGAGAAGGAAGAGGAAGAAATATGGATAATAAAAATGTCAATAAATACATATCTACCAACAATTGAATCTAAAAAACAAAATAAATAAACAAGGGGAACAGAAGTAGACGCATAGGTACAGAGAACATTTTGATGGTTGCCAGATGGGGGTGGGGTTGGGGATTTGGGTAAAAAAGGTGAAGGGATTAAGAAGTACAAATTAGAAGTTACAAATAGTCATGGGGATGTAAAGTGCAGCATAGGAAATAGAGTCAATCATACTAGTAACTGTGGAAAAAATAACAAAATAAAGAACCAAAATAGAAACAGACTCATAGATACAGAGAAAAAGCTAAGTGTTGCCAGAAGGGAAGAGGGTTAGGGGAGCTGAGTGAAAAAAGTGAAGGGATTAAGAGATACCAATCGGTGGTTACAAAGCAGTCACGGGACCTGAAGCACAGCTCAGGCAATAGAGTCACTAATGTTGTGATAACTATGCATGATGCCAGGCGGACACTAGACTTATCAGGGGATCATATAATTGTCTGACTACCGTGCTGTTCAGCTGAAACAAATGTAAAGTAATATTGCATGTCAACTGTAATTGAAAAAGAAAAAAAACCCCATAATTATGGAAACAAGGAAAAAAAAATACAGTTAGTCATCTTTCTTTCCTGCAAACCCGGTATCAGAGAGGTATTTTTCTGCCACTTCCTCTTTAGATGACAATGAGACCTTTTGCCCTGAGCATTGAAGTGTACCGAGCCCCAAGGGAGAGTTGAGTGCTTCAGTGTTAAAAGTCTAACCTCACAAAAGCAGCATGCACCGGAGGTTGGGGATAACCCATGGGATGCTGCGTCAGTCAGGGTGCTAGCCATAGTTACACCCGCTGCGACCGACAGGAATGAATTCTAGGGGTGGAGCAACCAGCAAGGGAGGATCTGCATTTCGACACACAGAGAGCCAGCAGCTGATGACGCAGGGAGATGTTTTTCTGCCCTGTCGGGGCTCTTCCTCGAGTCTCCCGGGGTGAGCTTGCCCATGTCCAGGCGGGGCGCTTTCTCCTGTTGCAGCCCTGCCCCTACCCCCTGGGAGCTGGGGGCGAGAGTGCCACCTGACTCGGGTGCCCCCAAGCCTCTGAGCAGGTGGCATGTGAACTGACGATGGCCCAGCCGTGCCAGGGAGCTGGCCATGCAGAACCCCCTCCTCCCTGATCTGGGTGGCCAGGGACCCTAGAAGAACCCAAGATGCCAGCGTGGGTAACATCAGCCAAGAGCCAGGGTGGGGCTGTTTGTTTCCTCTTTGGAGCAGTCAGCCATGGCTTAGTTTATGCTCTTGGAACTCTTTGGTCTGTTTAGACAGGCCAGATCCCGTCGGCCTCCCTGCGCCAGTGGACTTCATTCCTACTGAACCACTTCCTGGAACCAGCTGGTGGTCTGAGCCTCACCTCAGAGGAGGTTGCTGCGGCCCTGAGAATGCCAAAGGCCCTCCTCACTACACAGTTAGCAAATGGAAAGACGTTCAACCTCAGTTGTAACTAAAAAAAAAAGCAGTTGAAATTTTGTATTTTCACCCACCAGATTGGTGGAAGACTAGGAGACTGATAAATTCAAGTGCTGGTCAGGCTGTGGGGCACAGCCCTCCCTCACTCGTTGTTTGTTCAGCCTCTTGGGAGTAATGTGGGTCACCGTGACATTGTCCGTCAGAGCACCTTTTGGCCAAGCAGTTCCATTTTCTTTATTTTTAAAAGCTTTTATTTATTTATTTATTTATTTATTTATTTATTTTTTGAGAGAGAGAGAGAGGGAGGGAGGGAGAAAGAGAGGAAGAGAATCATTGATGTGAGAGAGAAATGTCGATCGCTGACGGGATCAAACCCTCAAGCCAGGAAGGTGCCCTGACGGGGAATTGAACCAGTGACCTTTCACTTTGCAGGACCACGTCCAACTGAGCCACACTGATCAGAACTAGGCAGTTCCATTTTAATTAATCTATTCTGAAAATATCACCAGAGATGTAATTTAAAAAAACAAAACAAAACAAAACAAAACACAGATCTGGCTGGTGTGACTCAGTGGATTGACTGCTGGTCTGCAAACCAAAGGGTCGCCTGTTCAATTCCTGGGTTGCAGACCAGGTTCCCAGTGGGGGGCACTCAAGAGGCAACCACACATTGATGGTTCTCTCCTTCTCTTTCTCTCTCCCTTCTCCACTCTAAAAAGAAATAAATAAAATCTTTAAAATAAAAAAAAACTAATGTGCAAGGTGGCATTTGCAGCATTGCAGTAATTAGGTCCTCCAAATGAAAACAACTCGAATGTGCACCGGCAGGAGACACCTTAAATGAATTAGGGATAGATATAAACTTAGTCATGAGTGAAGTTTGGAAAGAAAAAGTATATGCATATCGTAACAATATTGTTTAGGGTATGCATAGGGGGGAAAAAAAGGCCACAAGGCCCAGAAATCCCCAGAATTGAACGAAGAAGCTTTAGATAGGGCTGAAGCTATCTCTTGTTTATCCAAAATTCATATTTAACTGATTGGCCCGTATCATATCTGCCAATCTTATCCTGAGGAACTTGATTTAAAAACCATTGGCCTCATTCCCTTCTGAGATTCAGTAGGTCTGGGTGGAGCCCAGCCAGGAATCTTTTTTGTTTTGTTTTGTTTTGTTTTGTTTTTTAAATGGCATTCAGCTCAGGGTTGGGAAACCTGTACCCGACACGGGGATGCGTCGGGGCTCAGGCTCCTGTCACCAGGAAAACAGACATCGTCACGCTCATTCACGCCCCAGTCTTTAACGAGTTAGGCTAGCAGGAGTCAGGCCTCCAGAGCAGACTTCGGCGGGAAGGTGGGGTGGGGCCGTTCCTCTCAGGTGTGGCGCCCCGTCCCCCACCACCTTGTCGGAACAACCAGCTCTGCTACTCTTCCGCAGGCCGCCCCCCTCCCTCCTTTTGGACCCACTGGTTTCTCTGAGGTCCCAGCGTCTCTGCAAGACTTGGCCAACCGCTCTCCGCCCAAGCTGGAACTCTCCAAATCAGCACAATAGCGGCGGGCCGGGCGAGGCGGGTAGGGGAAGTGGGTGGGGCCAAGGACAAAGAAGCGGAAAGAGTCCCGGTCCACCGCGACTCCGGGTCCTCCCTTCAGCGTGTGCTCCTAGCTGTTTTCCCGCAAAGCCCCCATCCACGCCCTCCGCCCTTCGCGTCGGCCGGTGTCTCTGGAAGGCGGGGCCGGTGGCCCGAAGGGGCGTGGCCAACAAACGCGCGGCTCCGCCGAGAGGGGCGTGGCTCGGCAACTTCCCCAACCCCGTGGGCTGTAGGCCGGAGCGAGAGGCGAAACCTACCCAGGTGAGTTCTACTGTGCGTCTCTCGGTTGCTCCGCGTCCGGGATGGAGACGGACCAGGCGGTATCCGGAGGGGACCAAGCCGGGGCCGAGTTGCCAGTGGAGACCTTGGAAAACCAGGTCCCGGGGCTGGAGCGGCCGCAGGCCCCCGCGGAGGAGCGACGACCGGCGAGTCCCGAGAGCAGCCCGGCTGCGGCCGTGCACGAGGCGAGCGGCGCGGGCCAGGACCTCGCGGGCGGGAAGAAGCTGCCCTCGCCGCACCCCGCGCGCCTGCGGGTGCTGCCCCCAAGCCTGGGCTACGGTGCCTTCCGCCGCCAGACGTCTGCCAGCCCGGAGCCGCCGTCACCGGGCCCTGCTGGGGCCGAGCAGCCCCGGGACCGTGAGGCGGAGCTGGTGCCGTGGGCTGCGCCGGGGGAGCCGGCGCCCGGCACCTGGGCGCCCATGGAATTGCAGGTGGACGTGCGCGTGAAGCCCGTGGGCGCGGCCGGTGGCAGCCGCGCTCCCTCGCCCGCGCCCTCCACGCGCTTCATCACGGTGCCCGTACCCGAGTCCCCAGGCTTCTCCCGCCACGCCTCCCCTGTGTACCCACTGCTGCCGCGGACCGCGTCCTTGGGCAGCACGTGGGGCCGGGGCTCGCAGCTAGCCGCAGCCCGGCCGGAGCACGGCCTGGACGCCGAGGGCCGGGCCAGCCCTGCCGAGGGGGGCGCGGAGTCCCCGGGCTCCCCTAAGTGCCGCTGCCGCTGCAAGGAGCGGGAGCTGGAGAAGGAGGACACCGTGCTGCTGCACCGCGCCGAGGTGGACGGCGACAAGTTGCACCGGGCGATAAAGCTCATAGGTAAGCGCGCGCCAGCGCCGGGAGCCCACGCCGCTGGGGCGGGGTCTAGGCAGCCTGAGGTCCCCCAACATCCACTCGGCGCTGGGCCACTGCTCCGGAGGGACTAGGAGACCCAGACGACCCTCCCAATGCGCGATCCTACCGGTCCTCTCTGGCTTGAAACCAGTAACATTCTGGTCTACAGAATTCTAATTCCAATAGTTTGCGAAAAAAGAATGAACCCACTTATTCTTTTCCCCTTTCACTCTTCTGACAACTTTTTCATTCCCGCTTACTGTGCGCAGCCTCTTCGAGAGGTCGAGGTGGAAGGAATTTCAGGCGAGGGAAAGTTTTTCGGGATCACGTGATGAGGAGACGGTGGCAGCCCGGGAGGGAAGAAGAGCTGGAAAAAGATAAACAATTAAGCAACCCTAGTCTAGGAACCGGGAGGGAGTGGTTAGTGAACTTGGGGGTATGGGAAAGCCTCCTGGAGCTCAGCCTTGAAAGACAAGTAGCAATTGGGGGGGTTTAGTTTCATCTGTTGTTTTTTTTTTTTTTTTTTTTCTTTAACCAGGAGAATGAATTTGTTACTTGTGCGATTAAGAATAGCTTTCTTTTTTTTTTTTTAAGAGAGTAGATTTTTTAAAAAAGATTTTATTTATTTTTAGAGAGGGGAAGAGAGGGATGAAGAGAGGGAGAGAAACATCAATGTGTGGTTGCATTTTGCACGCCCCCTGCTAGGGACCTAGTTTGCAACCCAGGCGTGTGCCCTGCACTGGGAATCAAACTGTTAACCCTTTGGTTCACAGGCGGTTGCTCAGTCCACTGAGCCACACCAGCCAGGGCAAGAATTGTTTTCTAAAGGGAGTGGGTGGGACTTTCGGGAGAAGAGGCCAGGAAGTTTAGGAGACAGGTGGCTGTGTGTGGGGCCTTTCCCAGGTCCCCATTGCAGTCCTGAGTGTGAAGTTGTGCGACACTTTTGTAACTTACTGTATTTCTTTACTGTTTTGTTTTCTGAAACATCAGAATGGAATTTACTGTTCTGTCAAAGTAGTTATATTTACTGAGATGACTGGTGGGTTTATTTTCCTTTTCTTCCCCAGGCTTTTTAGTTCTGCTTTTATTACGTTAAGACTGTCGATTTATGTACCTTTTTTTATTTAAAAAAAAAAAGCTTTTATTTATTGATTTTGGAGAGAGAAACATCAGTTTGTTTTTTCACTTCTTTATGCATTCCTGGGTTAATTTTTTTATGTGCCCACACCAGGGATCGAACCTTCAACTTTGGTGTATCAGGATGACACTCTAACCAACTGAGCTACCTGGCCAAGGCTATATATCTTTTATTCCAAGCATTTTCAGTTTGCTTTTTTGGGTAAACATAGCTTCATTAAGCTATGATTTACACACCACACTATTCACCCACTTAAAGCATGCAGTTCAATGGCCTTTACTATATTCTCAGAGTTGAATTCATCTCCAGCCAGTTTTAGAATATTTGCATTCACTCCCAGAAGAAATGCTGTACCTTTTAACTATCACCCCCGAGCCTGCAGCCCCAGGCCGCCACTCGCCTATGTTCCATCTCTCTGGGTTTTCCTATTCTGGGTGTTTCATCCAAATGGACTCACAATGCGTGGCCTTTGGTGCCTGGCTTCTTTCACTTAGCATAGTGTGTCCAAGGTGGCCCATGATGTAGCATATGTCAGGATTTAGTTTCCTGGGTCTCTGGAGTTCTTTTCCCCTCTGCAACCTCACTGCAGCCATCTGGTCCCCTGGGCCCCAGAGCGACTGACGACTCACCTGTCCAAGTGCTCTCTGCATGATGCTTCCTCGGTGGCCTCCCGTACCTAGAGAGATAAAACAGGCAGGTGCGATCCCAGTGTCAAAACCAGAAAACACCAAGACACTTGAGTCACAGTGGAGCCCAGGCCTGTTGAACTCCAAATATAGCCCTCGTTCCTCCTCGTCTGCACTTGCATCCCCGGCCCCTCTGCCCAGCCCGTCAGCTCCTTCAGTGCAGGGGTCTTGCCCTGTTCCTGGCGTGTTTATACTGTGTCTAAGGCACCTTGCGTGCGCAGTAAGTGCTTGTTAGCCAGTTATTTGTTCTTTCTTGAACAGAATCTTAGGTCCTCTAGTTATTTAAGAAGAAAACATGTCATATTTTCCTCCCAAATAGGAAGTTCTAACCTAAACCCAGTGGTTTATCTGGGGGCCTTAGCTGAGGAGGTGGGCGTGATGCTGGTGTATAAGTCAGTGGGTCTAACCTGCGTCTCCTGGTTGTCCCCTCCGCTCCCCAGGGCTGCCCATGTACATGAAGTCCCTGCGCTGGGCCCTGGTAGTCATGGCTGTGCTCCTGGCGGTGTCCACGGTCGCCATTATCGTCCTGGCCTCTAGAACAGGTACGGTGCCCCCTCCTGGCTGTGCGCTGACAAGCAATCCGACGGCAGCTCCCACCGAAAGGCCCGCCCGTTCCATGCCTCCAGATTTGCGGCTCAGTCGAGGCCCTGGGCAGGTGTTGATTTTTTAACATACATGCATTCAGCTCGTTGCCGTTCACTCTGTGGCTCACCCGTGGTCTCTGCTTGCAGGGGCCAGGTGCCGGCCATGTGCCCAGGGCTGGCTGTGGTCCGGGGAGCAGTGCTACTACCTCTCCGCCGAAGCTCAGGCCTGGGAAGCCAGCCAGGCTTACTGCTCAGCCCACAATGCCACCCTGCCCCTGCTGAGTCACGTCCAGGTGAGAGGGGAGGGCGGGTGGGCCGTGGAGGGGTGTGCATACCATTACGGGTGACGGGATACTAACTAGCCCTGCAAGGAATCGCAAAGATCTAGTCCAACCCCCCATCACGGAAAAAGTCACCAAGGCCTGGAGAAATAAAGTGGCGGGCACGGGGACTAGATGTCACCAAGGTCTTCCGTTTACTCTTCATTCTAAGAGCGGAGGTGGAGCTGGATGGCCAGGGCAGGGCTGCCGCCATCCGGCCAGTGGCCACGTCAGGGGGCAGATTGGCTGGGCTGGGCTTGAGCCTGCAGGCTGGGTTTACTCCATGAGTCTCCCTGGTCCTCCTATGAGCTGGCGTTGGGGGAAGGATGAGGGGGCCGCAGCCTATGCAGGTGAGAGATGGGTATGTAACAGTTGCTTCCCGGGGCCTGGGCTGGGCCCTGAGTTCTTAATCACTGCGAGATGAGAATGGGCTGGGCAGAGACACCTTCGCAGGCCCCTGCATCAAAGGAGCCAGCCCTGTCACATCTGCCAGTCGGAGACCAGTGGGGACACAGGTGGGTCCCGACAGAGTGCGTGAAGCTGAGGAGGGGACCTAGCAGGGCAGGGACCTAGCAGCTCAGTGTAATTTTTCCATCTCCTGAGACAGACCCACTGAGCACAGCAAATGTCATTGGAAAGCCAGTGACATAAAGGGTCCCTGCCCTCCAGCCCCTCACCAGAGAGGTTCAACCCAGAATGACCCTGCACCTCGGCTGAACAAGTGGCCCTCTGGCTGCCGGGTCCTCCAAAGGGGAGCTGGATTTAACTCTCCAAATGGCAAATGGAGCTTGAGATAAAGACTTTGTTTTAACTAAGTACACAGGATCAATCAACTGAAACACAAGTACATATTCAGAAACTACTGTATCATAGAGCCTGGACAAAAGCTCCTTCCAAAAAAAGAGCTTCTAAAAAGCTCCTTGCAAAAAGACCCAAACTATGATTTGGGTCCCAGACAGTTAAAATACAGCCGAGAATGAGACTGTGGAGCTCTGGAATCTTCCACACATCTGGACAAGAGCCAGGGGTGGGGAGGACCGGCCGGCAGAGGCCACGCTTCTTGAGCTGGGAGGCACAAACGCAGGGACGTGCCAGTGCCAGGGGGCGCACACAGCTCCAGCGCAGACACGGCCCGCCCTTCCCCAAGCTGCTTTTGCTCACAGTCAGCGAAGCGGAGAAAGTTTAAGGGCTACCATCGCCATTGGTTTAATGACAGCTTCGTTTTGCAGGGCAGAGGGGGGAAGAAGCTACCTTAAATGTATATATACACTGACTGTGTATTTTACCACATTTAAAAAAAGAAAGAAAGAAAGAAATGTATGGCCCTGGCCGGTGTGGCTCCGTTGGTTGGAGCGTCGTCCGTATACCGAAAGGTCGCAGGTTTGCCCCCGGTCAGGGCTCACACCTAGGTTGCAGGTTCAGTCCCCTGTGGGGTGCATACAAGAGGCAACTGATCGATGTTTCTCTCCTCTTTCTCCCCTTCCCTTCCCCCCTCTCTAAAATCAATAAGCATGTCCTCAGGTAAGGATTAAAAAAAGAGAGAGAAATGTATGAAGCCATAGAAGGGGATTTACCCGAATTTTAGGACGTAAAATATGGGATTTCAAGTAAGTTCTGCTCAGGGTCAGAATTCCCCTCCCTACCCTGGTGGGAAGTTGGAGATGCACCAGTGGAAGGCGGTAAGGCCCCAGGATCACTGTGTCATTGTTACAGAGCAGTCCTTTGAGATGGAAGTTTCTAGAATTTATAACCCTTGACACCGCTTTCCCCACTCCATAACATTTGGTAACAATGAAACCAGGTTAACGGAGTCTGAGCTGCAAGGAAAAGAAGAGCCGAATGGAGCAGGTATTGCTGGGTGGGGAGGCCTGGCCCCCGGCCCCAGAGGCCCAGAGAGCTACCGCAGAGAGGAGGGCAGGGTCGCCTTGGCATTGCCACAGCATTGGATGGGGCTGTGTGAGGGGGCAGGGCACAGAGCTTCGCACACCACCCAGCAGAGGGGATGCTTAATGAGTGAGTACTGTGTGCCTTGGCTTTATACATACTATCTCAGGCCTCATTGCAGATGTCCCCATTTTACAGGGGACCGTGCTGAAGCTCTGGAAGGCTGGGTAACCTGCCTTCCAGCACGGATCTTACAAGTCATAGCACCAGAGTTTGAATTTGGGGCAGCCTGGCCCCAAAGCTCTACTCTCCGCAGTGGCGGCCCCGCTCTGAGCCACGGTGCGCCTTCCCCAACCAGCAGCTGCCGGTGCACAGGGGGCCGGTGCCGGCCAGCAGGAGTCCCAGACCTGTGCACCCATGTGGCAAGATGCTAGGACCACCCAGGTTCCTTCCCATCCCCTTCAAAGCCCCCCACCCAGCCCCACCTGTGGCCCCCGCCTGTGGCACGGAGCCGGAGAGGAAGCGGCCAGCCGCGCCAGGCTGTGTGCGCCAGGCTGTGTGCGCGTGCCTGTTCCCGCCCCACTCCCCCGCTTTCATGTGCCCTCTGACCTTTGGGATCTCCGGCGGTAAGGTTAGCCAGGTTACTGGGAGTTGCCGCTGGCTGGCGCCCCCTTGGGGAGAAGATGGATGGGTGCTGACACCTCTGGGCCCACGGCTGGCATGGTGGCCTGGGTGTTTCCTGGGGCCCTTAGCTGTGACCACCAGGGCCACAGGGAGGCATTTTCGCGGAGCTGGTCCAATGCGTGTTGGGCTCTTGTGGTCTGTGGTAAGACTGGCCCCCAGTCCTCACCAAGCTCACAGTGTCCCTACAGGAAAGGACCTTGAAGCTGAAGGACCAGAGCGACAAATGGGAGTGGCACCAAGGGATCGTTGTCACTCCAATACTTACTCGCTAATTCCCAGGGTTAAATACAGAGGTTTCGTCTTCATCACCTTAAACTATCTGGGATGGGGGCGGGGGAGACCTGAATACAGCATTACATTCGTTTTTACCATCCCGCTTCTCTAACGGGAGCATAGGCTTCCTGGCATCACGAGCAACATGCGCTTGCTGGTGGGCTCTGCCTTTTTCACTTAGCACGATTTCTTAGCACGTTACATTTAAGAAAACTGCATTTTCTATGTGCTTGTCATCTTTAACGGCACTGCAATTTTCCATCAAGTTGATAACCTATAATTGGCCTAGTTAGTTCCCCTTGGCTGAGCATTTGGGTGGCTTCCGCTTTTTCTTCATAAATGGCACTGTGTTATCTTTGGGTAAATTCCTTTTCTCCCCTTCATGCTCTTGGGTTTACTCCCCAAAGGGGAGTCACCCGATGGGACACAGGAAAGGCAAGGCTCAGCAGGTGTGAACTGGCAGCAAAGCACCAGGAGTTACAATGTTAACACCTTTTAAATACAGTTGAACCGCAGGTTAAAAACAAGTTGAAAAATTTCCAATGCCATCTCTTGCTTTATTGTTAAAAATAGGACATCAAGCATAAATAGCTAAAAGAAATAATCATTGCAAACAGCTAACATCCTTGTGTTCATTCTGGCTGCTCCTCACGTGTGTGTCCCTGTCTGTACACACTTTTTCATGATTACAATCATGCCACAGCTGTGAGCCAGCGTTGTCGCTCACTGTGACCCCTCACATACTACAGCCTTCTACGTGCTGTGCTGCTTATTCTGTTTAATGGCCTTAATAATATCGCGGAGCTGAACTAATACAACGTAACTGATGCTCTTGCTTGCTGTTGTGTTGTTGACCATTATGCTCCCAGGCGGCCGCAGCCTAATGACCCCATCACTGCCTCCTCCACAGCCTCCAAGCTTTGCTCACCTTCCCCGCTCTTCTTGGAGTCTCTTTGTTCCTCTGTTGCTCAGTGGGGATTGGCACTCACATCCTCTCGCCTCAAGGGCTGAGATGGGATCCCCCCATTTCTGGCTCCCATACTGAGCTCAGTGCCTGGGAACCAGCGAGCCATCCAGCGCAACTTCCCAGCTCCTGGTGTCTGGGCGGGTGGAGTCCAGTGGAGCTGAGTGAGGCGACCCAGGGTCCAGAGAAGAGTGACCAGCTGCTTTTCTCCCTCAGGACTTCCTGAGCAGATGCCCAGCCATCAAGTCCTCCTGGGTGGGGGCCCGGAGAGGTCCCCATGGCTGGTACTGGATCGATGGTGCCCCCCTGCCACCCCAGCCGTGAGTGACCGTGGGCCTGGGCGGGGAGTCCTCCTCTGTCCCCAATGTGCTATGTGACATCACAGCAGGTGCCAAAAGGGGCTGGAAGCCTTCCCCTCCTCTGTGGGCACCTCCCTGCTGCTGTTCTGCGTCCGCCATCGCCCCAGATTCAGTCCCCCTGCTCCACCCGCTGGGCCGCCTCTCGGGAGGCTGACCCCACACAGAAGCTCAGGGCCTGGTTTTGTTCAGTGCCCGTCACCCGATCCCTTGTTTAGGACCCCAGCACATTGGCCCAAGCAGGCCTGTCACACTGTCCTACAGAGATGTGCCACACAGCTGAGCCAGGGACATCCTCACGCCACCGACCCCAGGGCCAATTCAAACAGGACCCGGGCCAGTGTGTCCGCAGGCTGGAGGGCCTGCGGCCAGAAAGCCCCATCGCCCTGAGCGCCCCTCCTCCCTCTCGTCCTTCCCCAGAGCCCCGGAGGAAGAGGAGGGCCGGCCGGATCTCAAGTGCGGGGCCCTGGAGGGAGGCAGGCTCGTGGCTTTGGACTGCATCTCTCCAACACCCTGGGTCTGCGCCAAGGGGACCAAGTGACTTGGGTTTCACCCGTTCTGAGCCCGTGGGGCATGCCACCTGCTCCCCAGCGGAGGCCAAGAGGGGAGCTGGGCAGCCCCGTCCCTGGACCCAGGCTTCCAGGGCTCCCTGCTCCGGGCCCCCGGGACCCAGCCTGTAGGATCCCGGGAGCTGGACCTCTGCTGCTGGACGACCACCTCCGGGCAGAAGGCTTTCTGTGGCCCTGGGGCCGGGAGCCCATTTTCACCCCAACTGCTGAAGGGGGTCTGTTCAGAGGCCTTCAGATGGGTTTCTTTAGCGTGTTGAGCCTTGGTGTCTCCGTTAAAATGGCCATTCCCCATGCTCTCTCTCACCCGCCTACCCTCAAGGCCCACCCCTTTGGTCCTAGAGGAAGACATCACAGGCGAGCCCGCAAAATGTGTTTTCCATTGTTTTGTGGTGAGAGGGGTCATCAGCAGGGACATCGTTGCTGTCAATGCCAGTTCCAGGCAGCGGGCACACAGCCAACCCAGCTGACGACCAGTGTCATGGCAAGTGAGACGCTGTGGACCCCTGGAGGAGGAAGAGGGAGGCTGCACGCGATGGCCAAGGCTGGGACCCTGCAGGGGAGAGGGCCACCTGGGCAGGAGAAACCCAACCTTGGTAGGCGGAGGTTCCTGCGAAAGCGGGGTCCTAGTGAGAACAGAAATCAGAGAAATGTGGGTGGTTCAAGGCAGCTCTTCCCACAGCTGTGAGGGCGCCAGCCTGGAAGGTCTTCAGGGAGTGGCCCCACGGGGGGGCTGGAGGGGCTTGTTTGGTCTCCCCAGCCTGTAGCGACCTCTCCAACAACAGGAGAATGTTCCTGCGTCTCATCTTGGGGCTGAGCATTCAACACAACTGTCATATACAAACCAACTTTCTAAAGTCAGGTGGTGCACATCTACATTCCCCTCAGAGACACCTGTATTGTCCATTAATCCAGCAGCTTGTACAGAATATGCGGGTGCCTGGGAGAGAGAGGTGGAGAGACTTAAAGGACAAGCAATAAGAGTCTTGGAAGCACTGTGGTCTTCCTCATGGCTTTCTTATTCCAACTACAAGTTAACTCCAGAGCAAGAAAATGTGCTCGATTTTAACTCACTTCAAAGCCCTCCACAGCAGACATCCTGTGTCTGGTGTGTCAGGCTCGTTTAACATCAGGGAGCCTTGGGCTCTTCCCAGATTCAGGGGCAAGTGCCATGTGGCTTGGGGATCCCGCGGCACAGTGCCACTTGGCTTCCTTGGTGAAGAAGTGGAGTGAGAGGACTTCCTAGTTACTGCCCAAAGTTGGCAAACCGAGAAATCAAAATATAAGCTTATTATTTAGAAATATGGAGATAAATAGTAGAAGAAACAGCAGGAGTAATTATAAATGGTTACCTTAAAACTAATTGGTGATGACAGAGGCAGAATACCGGGAAGGGGCATCAGGAACATTCTAGGGTGATGGAAAAGGTCTAGATCTTGATGTGGGTAGGGCTGGGGCTACCCACATAAAGATTCATCAAGCTGTCCTTAAAATTAAAAAGTCAAGTCTGTCTCCAAAGAACTGGAATAAAGTAACTAGGAGATTGATTTTTTTTTTTTTTATGAAAATTGGATGGGCGTGGGGGGCGCATAATAATCCAAGGAGTGAAGTGGTTACATGGGGACTATATTAGAAATTTAAAATAGATGCTGAAATAAATGTTACATATTGAACCATGTGACTCATCTTCCTTCAAAGATTCCTTAGTGATTTCACCAGCCCAACTGAGCTCCAGTTCAAAAGCTTTATCCTGAACTTCATTGCCTAGGACTGATTTTTTTTTTTTTTTAATACAAATATACACCCTTGCCCTGGCTGGTGTGGGTCAGTGGACTGAGTGCTGGCCTGCAAACCAAGGGGTCACTGGTTCGATTCCCAGGCAGCACATGCCTGGGTTGCGGGTCAGGTCACCAGTAGGTGGCGCACAAGAGGCAACCACACATTGATGTTTCTCTCCCTCTCTTTCTCCCCCCCAACAAAATAAATAAAATCTAAAAAAAAAAATTCTTCCATAGTACTAACTTAAAACCATATTAACAGTTTAAAAGACAAAATACATATTCATGCACTACTTTGATAAAAAGAAATCCGACTTTTTAAAAAGGTCCACAAGATTCTGACGTGCAGCACGGCTTGGGAACTACCAGCGTCGGAAACGATTCCTACAGCTGCCTTTTCTCACAGTCTGCCGTCATTTGTCACAGCTCCCTCCACATCAGCCTCGCCTTCTGAGCACGTCGCCCTTCCACAGAAATGGAAGCTGGAAAAGACACACAGTGGGTTGGTCTGCATGGAACTCTTCCGAGTCATTTTCCTAGTGTCTTCGCACTGGCAGCTGCCATTGTTTGAAATTCACATCTAGCGGTGTTGCAGGCCCACTGGCTTGTTGCACGGGGCTCTGGAGACCAGGCTCTGGAGACCAGGCTCTGACCCGGGCTGGCTCCACAGCTCACAGCAGCTCCAGACATCTAGGCTGTCGAACCTGTGTTAGACCTGGGACTCATTGTCCCCCAAGTCCTGAGTTTCTGACTCGGCGGGGCAGGGCCCCCACGGGGGTTTCTTCTAGCTTTCCTGGTAATTCTGATGCAGAGGGCCCAGAAACCACATTTTGAGAAATGCTAACAGAGCCTATCTTGCTACCAAGAAAAAAATCAGTATTTTAAATGAATTGTGAGGTATAATCTGTACCAAAGGAAATGTATCCATTTGAGAAGTACCTGTTGACAAATGTAGCCACTTGTGTAACCACTGCCACTCAAGACGTGGAATAGTGCCAACACTCTAGAAAGTTCCCTCCTGTCCCTTTGTGGTCAGTCCTGTCCTCCCGGACCTCCAGCTCCAAGCTCACCTGCATCCTGTCTCTGTAGATTGTGTGGTTTGTTCTAGGATTTCATATAAGAGAATTGCACAGTACGTAGTGTTCTGTGCCTGCTTTTTTAGCCGAGTAGGTTTTAAAGACTCATCTCTGCATGTGTCAGATCTTTGTAGGAATGTATCAGGATTTACCTTCTCTCTAGTTGCTGATATTAACACTTGACTCCAGTTTTGAGCTGTTAGGAATGCAGCTGCTATGAATATTTGAATCCAAGTCCTTGTGTGGACCCAGGTTTTCATTTCTCTTAGGTACCTGGGGTGGGGGCATTGTATGGTAAGTAATGTTTAATTTATAAGCAGCTGCCAAACTGTTTTCCAAAGTAGCTGTACATTTTACATTCCCAGAATATGCGAGTTCCAGAATATACTAGTGGCCATGCAGTGGACTCTCAGTGTGGTTTTCATTTGCATTTCCCTGACGACTGATAATAACTGAGCTTCTTTCATGAGCTCAATGGCCATTTGTATGTACTTTTTTGTGATTCTGATACCAAAGGTCCAGAGACAATATTTAGAAAAACCCAGACTAAAACACCCATGCCCTGGGGGCAGGCTTTTTTAAGTGGTAATTTAAATGGAAAATCTAAGGTTGGGAATTTCCTAACTTTGTGAGAGCGTTGCAAAATACAGAATTTAAAGTTAGGCGAACACCCATCTGCTCTCCACCTAGATCTAACAACAGGCAACGTTCTGTCAGTCACTTATGTGTATGTACAAAATCGAACCATTGAAGATGTTAGATGTCAGGACACTTCACTCAGAAGTACTTCAGCATGCATCCCCTCAAAATAAGAATAGTCTTCTATGTATTTGCGATTCCACTATTAGTAAAGTTAGCATTAACTTCCTGTTCAATCCATGGTTCAATTTTGCCTGCTGTCCCAATATTTTAAACAAAAATCAGGGTTTCAGCATTGTTATGGGTATCTCTTTAGCCTCTCTTAACTCTCTTAGAACTTCTTTTCAGTAACAATACTTTTTCAGAGACCGGCCCAGCTGGCTGGGGCGTGACAGCCACAGCGCGCTGGGCTCACTTCCTGGAAACTGGAAGTTGGGGCTTGATTCACTACCAACACTTGACCAGAACATTTCAAGATCCTGGGTACTTCCTATTCCATCACCTGGTAAGATTTTAATACTGATTGCAAGTAAGCAGAACCAAACTTTCTAAAAATAAAATAAAATAAAAATCGGGGAACTAAACCATGTAATTCATATATCCCCATCTGGGTAAATAAGAGCTTTAAGTTACTCTCAGCTTCAGAGGTGGTATAAAACTGAGACTACATGATATAAAACTATACATAGTTATTATCTCATCTTCATTTTTGGGGCTTTTGTTCCCCCTTTGGACATTCCTGTTGGTCCCATCTAACCTCTCCCAGCCCAGGACACACCTGTCAGTGTTATGCCAGCAAGAGCCTCAGGCTCAGAACCTGGCCAGCTCTGTGCCATGTCTGCCTAGTCTCTTGGCGCTGCTCAGTTCCCTCCCCTGTAACACAGGTGTGAAGGCGGGACGCCGCTCCTGCCAACCCGTGATGCACAAACCTAAAGAGATGGCATGGACCGACACATGCAGACACGACGAGGCACCTCAATAATCGTCTCACATTAGCTGAACGTCATCTGTCTCTCCATGTCACGCTTGGAGGAGGAGGAGGAAAACAAGGTCCCCTCTCTGCCCCAGTGCTTGGCCACGGCGCCCACGTTCCAGTGTCCAGGGAAAGAAATTGCTGAATTCTCTCCCTCACCTGCCCCACCCTCCGGGACCCCACCGGGGAAGCAGCCGCGTGGCCTGGCAGCGACCCCAGTCTGGGGCTGCGGGCGAGTCCCGGACTCATCCAAGCCCCATCGTGCCAACCTTGCCATCCCAGCCTGCTGGTCAATGTCTGGTTCGGGGGCCCAGGCCTGAGCCAGTCAGGAAGGTCATTACTCTGCCCACTTCAGCTGGTTCCCAAATGGGAACATGCCCCAATGCGGTTACAAAAATGTGAGAAAAAGGCTGCCCCGGGCTTTTCTGGGGAAGGTGACTTGCTTTTTAGAGAAACAAAGGAATGGCTTCATCTGGATATAAGGCTCCGAACGGAGCTGCCATGTGCCCCGGCACCGCTCACGGCCACGTAAGCGGGATCTTCTGGTACAGGCAGCTGGCAGACTCAGGTACAGGGGCGTGCTGCGGCTGGGACCTTGAGAGCCCCTCTGATGTCCTGTGGCCTCATCACCTTGCTGGGTCTTTGACTGACAGCCCAGTTCTGAATCTGAATGCCATGCTTTTAGCCTAAACCCTACGGTGCCAGCCATTAGTCTGGTCTGATCCCCAGAGGTGCTGGTAGACCCAGAACCTCTGACATCCTGGTTTCTGCCGGTACGTGGGAAACAGGCAGACACACCAACAGGTTGGCCACAGCACAACCTACTGATAGACTCGGCCTCTGGCATCAAAGCCCTGTTCTCTTCGCCCTCCTCAGCCTTCCCTAACTCCCCTGGAGCTGGGATTGCTCTGCCCATTATAACAGGCAATGGGAAGAAAAACAGAGGACAACTCTGTATTCTTATTTATACCCAGGGAAAATATAAACACTGGGTCAGGATGTAATAAAATTATGATGTACACAGCTTTGTTTTTGCAGATAGGAGAAACAATGTTTTTCAAAATATTCAAGTCAGTATACAGCACGTGATGGTTGACCGAGGGGTTCTGAAGGCTCTCGGCTATCAGCCACCAGCCTCGCAAGGCACGGGCGTGGTGGTCTCGGGGCCAGGGAGGACGGTCAGGCTCAGGGCAGCGGCTCACTGCTGATGGAGGGGCGCGTGCCAATCGTTTACTAATTCGAACAGCTATACCAGTACATACCAGCAGAGTGTCCACCTTGGACACGAACACATTTAAAGTTATCTAGTCTATACTTGGATTTTTAATGTTGAAAATCCTATAAACATTTCTGATTTTTAAAGCTAGTTCATAAAAACCATTTTGAAAGGCACCCAATGAATGAGAAATTACCACAACGAATGACAAGTGTCTAAACTGTAATGCACGCTTGGCTCTGGCTCAAAGGACAGAGTTTGACAGCTATTATTATTAGTTAATGGAAATACTCTTAAAATGAAACTTGGAGGGAAAAAAATAACTTGGAAAAGATTAAGAAAAGTTAAACATTAGTGACAGGACAATTATCAGAGAGGTAAGAAAGTCTTTCTTTTTCAAGTCTGCTTAAAATGGAGGGTTATTTCCTTCCGTTTCAGTTGCTGCTGCCCAATGACAGCAAACAAGGCCTTACCGAAGGACACCAAGCCTGGTATCACAAAGGAGCCAATGGTTTTTGCAAATATGTGACAAAACTTACATTCCTATCTATTACAGCCGCCAGATACAAAAAAGTACCAAAAATTGTGCATGAGAAACAGAAATATTGAGACTTTAAGGTTGTTCTGAGGGGTTGCCCTGGCTCAAGAATAATTATTACAATATGTAAATCATTTACCCCCAAGTCTAAATATTAGGAGTACCTAATCGTCCTGGAGTTTTTAAATTGGGATCATTCACTGAAAGGAGCGCGCAGCTGACGGGACCCGCCACAGGGCCCAGCCCAGGGCGCGGCTGCCTTTCACTGGCTGCCACTGACCTGCTGGCATCAGGCGGCCTCTGCTGCCTGCAGATCACAAATGCGGTAGCAGCTAGCCATACAGATACCTGTATGATTAGGCAGAGAACAGGTATTAAATTCCAATTATACAAACATAATGCTAAACCCTACATTTCAACCGTGTTTTGGAGTTTGGGCTCTGACTCCAGATATACCACTGTCACGGGCCAGGTCCTCCTTGAACCTACCAGCCTGGCCTTTCTGATCTTACTCCACATCCCAAGGTACTAAATCCAAAGTGCTTGTAAGGATTTAAGAGAAGAGCACAGACCACGAGGAACAATGTAGATGCAAAACAATCCTTCAGCGACCAGCGATGCAGACGGGCCTCAGAATTACACTCTTATCAATTCAGTGTGAGGCACACATTCCTCAGTCACCTCAAATTTGCCACATTCAGGGAAACAAATCAAAACTAGTTATGGAAAGGTGATCTCAGTTAACTGTACTCACAGACACTAATTTCATTCCTTAATGTATTTTTGTTACTCAGATTTTCTAGAATCGCAAGAGATACTTGTTTAAATCAGAGAGGATATCTATAGCTTTTCAATGCAGAAACTGTTAGTCTCATTACGTTGGTTATACCATGTTTTTATTTCAGTTTGCTGAGTAAGAAGAAATACAAAACAAAAGCAAATGAAAAACCCAGTTTCTTCTGTAGGTCCAGTCCTTTGCGGTAGCAGTGGTACAGACAGCCCTGAAGTAGCTGGAATACGTCAGCCAGGGACCCAGGCAACAGCAGTTCAGCTTGAATCTTCACAAGTGTATGTTTATCTCCTTTGGTGCCTTGCACAGTAAGGCACTAGTAATGATATAAAAGAATAAAAGAAATGCCCACAGCAAGAAGTTCTAGTGACAATTTACTAGACAAGTTACAGTTTAATAGTAATGGTGGTGGTGACTGTTTCATTTAATTATTATTGTTTTTTTACAATACGGGTATAGCCTTTATATTCCACGCACACAAAATAAAACAAGAAGTGCTTATGAAAAAGTCCCTGTCCCCACCCCCTTTGCAAAACACCCTGAACGTAGTAATTCAATACAACAGAAAAATCAAGACTTATTTGATTTCCAATTGTCAATAAAAAAGCAAAGTATGTAATGCAAGAGCTGTTCAACTTCCAACTCTAAACAAACTAAAAAAATCCTCCCAGTATTTAAATTTCTCCAGCACACATTCCAGTATAAATGCTCTGAACTGTAATCAGCTAGTTATTAATGGGAACAAACCTTAGAACAGAAGCTATATTGCTTCCCTGACCCCCTTTCTCTTAAAATTAGAGGGTGGGAGGTTCAGGGGATACAAAAGTCAGAGGAAGAAGAATTAAAAAGGAAAGTCCCCAAAGCTGCGCTGTTTGGACTAGAAAGGAAGACAGCACTTTACAAATGTTCAAAAAATCCCAAGGCAAGTAACACAATTTGTTTGCTATCACTTCTACTAAAAAGAACAAAAAAACATCCGCATCTTTCTCATATATAAAACTATGTTGAGTACTTTCAGAATTGTATTACAGGTTCACCAGAAACCATGGATGTAGTTTTAGGCTTCATCAAGGAACACATTCAGTTCAGGCCAAGTTGGATACGGTACATCTAGCCTAGCTGGGTCAGTGTCTGGAACTGCTCACTGTGTCACCCCGAACAGCTGTAAACTAAACAATAGTATGTAACTCCATAGGAAGCTTAAGGACTGAGGACATGTACACAGCTAATTATATCTCCCCTGCTTCGCGCTCTTCAGAGCTCCTCCTGTCTTCTGATCTGCCATTAGCGCTCTCATAGGACCGCTTCTTATCTTTTCGATCTCTGTCACGAGGTGATCTGTCTCTTGAATTCCTGTCTCTGTCACGTGATGCTAAGTCTTGGTCTCTGAATCTTTCTTTTGAGGATCTGAAAAATATTAATTTGAGGAGCAAAATGTGTTGGGAAACCCAAAATCCAAATGAAAGAATCGGATAAATATTAAGGTATTGATAGCTGAAGGAAGATACACAGAATACATCCAAAAAGACAGGAGTCAGTTTTCTGACAAGAAAGAGCACCACCATATTTGATAAGGGTCTAAAACAAGGACACGGGTGAAAACAAATAGCTAAGGGTCAAAAACCACACACCAAAATAATTATTTATAGGATATTCTCACTGTCTCAGAGGCAATCAAAAAGATTCTCTCATTCCTAGCAAATGTATTTAGTAAAAGAATTACAAACAATACCTTTAAAAAGCAAAAGGTATTACCCAATTAAAAAACATAAACTAGAATGTAGATCCCAAACTGGATGGAAAGCAATGTCTTAAACGGGGGGTCCGCAAACCTTTTTGCTGTCTGGTCAGAAAGTATTTTAGGTATTGTGGTCACATACAGTCTCTGTGGTATATTCTTCTTCCTTTTCTTTTTCACCAACCCTTTAAACAATGTACAAACCATCCAAAGCTTGCTGCCTATACAAAAACAGGCTAGAGGGCCAGATGTGACCTGCAGGCAACTTAGATAAGAGAACTACTCAATTAATAACATGGTAAACATTTATTATTTTTAAAATGTGCTTTACTCCTCCTGAGTTAACTCATTCAACCAAAGGAAAAAAATCAGAATGGAAGACAGAGGAAGATGATCACACTACAATAAATCTTGATTAACCGTAACTGTTTCTTAGTACCACCTCTCCGTTATCACACCCAACTTCCATAAGGTAAATAACAAAACAAGGTTATATCAGAGATTCAGTCAGAAGGAAAACCAAAGGTCATCACAGGATCAGAATTAATATGAAATCTTCTATACTTTCAACATCTAGAATGAATCAGAAACACATATTACGTTTATTTCATTCTTTACAGGTGACATGATACTTCTACATAATCATCTCACTTAACCCACATTCAGGATTTAGATCTGAGGTCTGATTAAGTAATACTTTCAACTTCTAAGGCAGGAAAAAACTACTACTATACTCAGTTTTAGAAATATAGTTAAGGATTAAACCAAAAAGGTCAAAAAACAAAGTAAGGTCAACTAGGAGCATTCTACTTCTTTAAGGTTTTAACAAGCTTAATTTAAAAATGATGTGTAAAAAAAAAAAAAAAAAATCACACAGTGCACATATCTGGTTACACTTGCCCTATCCATAATCTTTGTAAGAATGGAATAGGAAGGGAGATGATGACTAAGAGGGCAGTGATAATAACTGAAAATCAACTGTGAGATGAGCATCAACTAATGCTTTGTGAGCGATTACAATGTCCATGCACAAGCAGGTTCCATTCCCTATTTCACTCAAACTACCAATAACCCTAATAAAGCAGGCGCTCTTACTATCCCTACGTAGTAGATGGGAAAAGAAAGGTGGGGTCACTAGATGACGTGGCCAAGGCCACTGAAACCAAGTAGTCTGACTCTGAAGTCTGCACTGTGTGTGTGAACAGAGCAGGAAGCAGAGAAATGCAAATGACCCTCCTTTGCCAAGGGTAACTGTTGCCAGGGAAAGGTCACCAACAGAATCTCCTTACATCCGAGACCAGTATTTTAGCTGGGGCAGGAGAGCAGCACATCATAAAAGACTCTTAACTGAGACTTTTACCTTGAAAATTAAACTGAAATATGCAATAACTTTATGTTCTCATGTATAATAACACGTAGGTTTTAATAGCAATTGTCTGGTAATTTTTGGTAAAAACAATGTTGCTTTGAAAAAGAGAAATGTGAATATTGAGGTTAAAAGTGCTCTAGAGAAAAGCAAAACTTTTAATAGTTTTACAAAAATAAGCCTCTTTAGGAACGTGCTAAAAATTCAGTAGAGGTATCATTTGTATGGTGGGAAATTTTCCTATACAACTTCATAAACACAGGAGGCGTTAGGGACCAAACATGGCCTCAGGCGGGCATCCCTTCCATTCCCACTGTGGTAGTGGTGCTCAGGGGGTGACAGACGCCACAAACAGTGGAAGGTGGGGAGGCTCTCAGGAGAAACTGTCTAGAGCCAGTGGTGTCCTAACTGCGGCCCAACACAAAATAGTAAAAGGGGGGGTGGGGTGGGGTGTGTGTGTGTGTGTGTGTGTGTGTGGGTGTGTGTCTGTGTGTGTTCGTTCGTGTATTAAATGTGTGGCCCAAGACAACTCTTCTTCCACTGTGGCCCAGAGATGCCAAAAGGCTGGACACCACTGGGCCTATCAACGAGCAGAATGATTACCAAAATTTACAGTGCAGTTGAGACTCATGGAGATTTTTTTTTAAAATGCATTTTGCTGGGCACTACGCTCTGCCCCGTTTTAAGATTATGAGATTAAGTGGCCCTACAAATAACACTATCAGGAATTGACCCTTGTAAATTCCCTGCTCATTCTCTGCATTTGCCTCATTTTCACTCTATCTGTATATCTTTTCCTACCTGGTTTTATCTATTTAAATTATATCCACTTTGAGTTTTATGCATTATATGAAGCCATCTTTTTTTACTCAGATATTTCCCTCATTTGAATGCTTCTATCATTTACTCTATGACATAGAGTTCAGCACTTTATAATAACATAGAGTTCAGCACTTTATAATAAACTAGGTTTTATATCAGTCTGGTTATTGTCAAAGATGTTAGTCCCGTGTTCTCACTCAACTGAATAATGACTCAACTATGTTATTCTGTTATTGTTTGCTAGACCTACAGTACAAAGTATACAGTTCTTTCTGATTAAAGTCACCTTAAGAACTGCCTGGTTTGCTAAGAGAATAGAACTTAAATGTTCTCACCAAAGAGGTGATGGATGTGTTAATTAATTAATGGTGGGAAACATTCCATAATGTATACATACATCAAATCACCACAGTGTAGACTTTAAATATCTTAAATTTTATTTGCCAATTATACCCCAATAAAGCTGGGGGGAAAAGAGCTACTTGAAACAAGGCAAGAATACAATAAATATTGATTGACACCCTATTAACTAACTCAGCTTTTGAGTGGTTTCAGGGAATGGCTGGTTAGGAGTCAAAAAAAAAAACCCAAACAGACAAAAATAACCAAACAGACCCAGAAAGTTTAAATAGCTTTCTGTGGATTCTATCATGGGCTTTCTGTGGAGTAATCCATAGAAAATTTATGACTAGTAGGTACTAGACACTCAAAAATCGTATATATGCTTAAAAAAAATTGTCAAGAAAAAATAAATTTTAGGTGTGTTATGTTCAATGGAAATGAACTGGCTTAAGGGCCATCATGTGACCTGAGGAGTTCTGAAAGTTTCATCAATATGGACTGTGAGTGCTAAGGCTCCACCACATTCTAATCCTTCGTTCCAATTGGATATCCAGGTCCTTAAACTTACTTCACCCCAGCCTGCCTTGTACCTTTTGAATTTCCATGCCTAGAAAGTCTAACTTCCTTAAGATTCTGAATCGCCCTGTCAAGCCAACTGTACATAACAATGCATACCCATTGTGCAGATTAAAAAAGAATATAGTAGATGTGTCTGCTCTGAAAAAGTGCACCAGCTCCAAGAAGTATGGAAAACAATGTCTAACAAAGCTAAACAACTCTTAATGAAAGGACTTCTCAGAGCCCATAATTCATCAACACATACAGAAAAAATTTGAAGACTATTGGTACCTAAAATTATTTGCCCATAAAGTACTTTTTTCCCCCAAGACACACTACGCAGAGAAATGCAATAACCTCTGCAAATATTTGTTCCAATTTCTTACTCTGGCTCATAAGTATATTCTTTCTGAACTACCCATACAATCAGGGAAAACATTGTTATACACCCATACACAAATGTGTACATATTACCAGATGCAAGTTTCAAACCAATAGTATTCCAATTCTAAACTATAAGGTAGTTCCATGTCCTCTTACGGACACCTCAGTACCTCCTCCTGGATCGCTCTCTGCTCCTGTCTCTAGAACTGTGCCCACTTCTCTGGTGGCTGCGGCTGCGGCTGCGGCTGCTAGAGCGAGATCTGTGGCGATGGCGTTTCTCCCGAGATTTGGATCGAGTTCTCCTCTTCCGTTCCCGCGACATGGAGCGAGACCGATGTCGGCGGTGCTCTCTGGACCTGGATCTACAAAAAACACTTCACTTAGTTTTTAGCTTTGTAACCACCACATTATTGTTCATTCACTGAAGCCTCTTCTTTTGAACAGAAACTATCCTTCAGTAGCTTTGCTTAATGCCAATTCTGTTTCAAGTCAGCTAAATCTACATTAAAATAAGGTGCTGGTGTATTAAATATATACTAGAATTTCAAAACAAAAATTAATGATAGTTCTCAGAGGTCAAACATTATTGTATACATTTACATCAGGAATATAAAAAGGGAATGAAACAATCTAGACGTACCACTCACCAGAGGGTATTATCTAGATGCTTTATGGAATTAATTTCCTTTAAACTTCGAAGATTTTTAGTACAATTCAGACATAATATATCCCTGATAGACATGGATAGAAGGAGAGGCATGAAAAAGAATATTGTCAAAAGTATCTGATTAGCCCTGACCATTGGGGCTCAGCTGGTCGGAGCGTCATCCCTGAAATGTCACGGGCTCAGTTCCCAGGCAGGGCACTGGCCGAGGTTGCGGGTCTGGTCTCTGGAGAGGGCCCTTAGGAGAGGCAACCGACTGATGTTTCTCTCTCTCTTTCCCTCCCTTCCACTCTCTCTAGAATCAATAAGCATGTCTTGGGTGAGGATAAAAATTAAAAAATAATTTTAAAAAAACCCTCTCTGAATCAGGTTTTATATGACCACTTAAGTGAGTCTGAATGTCCACAATATGCTCAGTCAGTGTAATCAAAACACAGTAAGACAGTTCTCTATTCATGTAGTGCATAATTTAATTGGAAGAAAAAATAAAATAGTTTTAAACAACTTTACTTAAAATTGCAAAAAACCCCCATGTATTTACAAGTACATGAATATAGAGGACAAAAACACTTTGAAGCAGCTAGAAGGAAACACACTTCTGCAGTCTGCGCTGGGCCACAAAACTAACTTGTGTGCCAGGTGCGGTGAGGGTGGGGATAACTGAGGAGAGGACAGGACAGGACAGGACAGGACAGGACAACCGGGGAAAACAGCAAGAGAAAGAAAGGCGCGCAACTCTGTTGAAAGAGTCTCTTCATTGGATAAGAGTTCAAAAGCCCATTCAGCTGTTGCAATTACCAAACTGAGTTTATTTTCTTTCTTTTTCTTTTTTTTAAAAAAGCCATAAACATTTTTGTTTTACGAAACATTTCTTAAAAAAACCCCAAAACCCCAAGATTTTATTTATTTATTTTTAGAGAGAAGGGAAAGGAGGGAGAAAGAGAAGGAGAGAAGCATGGATGTGCAAGAGAGAGAATGATAGGTAGCCTCTCTCATGCTCTCAACTGGGCACCTGACGCGCAAACCAGGCATATTCTCTGACCAGGAATCAAACCGGTGACCTTTCAGTCTGCAGGCCAGCACTCAATCCACTGAGCCACGCCAGCCAGGACCCAAGTTTATTTTCAAATGATTATTTTGTTAGGTGCAGTTTAAAAGCATTCAGTGTTTGTCAACATTACAGTCAAAGAAAGGCACATTCTGTACACATTCTCTACACGTAACATCAACCACAGTTGAACAGAGTATTTCCACAACTGAGTATTTCTTATAAGCAGCAGGAGGAAAAGACCATAAAATTCATTCAAGTTTTACAAAATGCTGTATTATTTAATCACTTATTTTGAGCCATTATAATAGACCTATTTCTTCCAATGTGTAATTTCATTTTTTTTAAAGTTATCCATTCATTAAAAAAAAAATATTTACTGGGTGTCTACTGCACTGTTCTGGGTACTAAGGAGATTGAGCAGCAATTAAAGTCCTTAACCTCATGGAGCACACAGAGGTGGGCAAGAGTAGGTTTACAGCTGTGAGTATGTAAAACAGTTTATTCTTGTCCTATTATTTATTAATTATTGTATTTCCCATATGAACAACTGTAAACCTACCTTTGTCTACCTTGTATACTCAAGAAAGATGTCTACACAGACACGTGGACATCAGGTAGTAAAAAGAAAAATGGAGTACCTTTGGAGGACCTGAAAGGGTTCAAGACGAATACTTGAACAGAACTGGCATGATTTATTTCACTTTTTAAAACGCTCTTTCTGGGTGATGGGTGAAAAACAGACTGAGTTAGAGAAGGGGAACGGGCAGTATAACAGTGAGAGACCAGGTAAGATCCTGAGGCAAGAGGTGGCTTGGACTAGAGTGGTAGAAATTAAATTTCTGGTCTATGTGAAGATGTACAGATAGTTTAAATATCCTTTTCAACATAAGTAACCAGCTTGCATTCATCAACCAGTACACAGAACAGATTCATCGCTTAATGTTCATACTTCTCATTCTGGATTTGAGATATTCACAACATAAATTAGCTAACCCAACAGATTCTGTTTATTAATGTCTTAGTTTTTTAGTTTTTAGAAAAACAGTTGAAAAAAGCACTAAGGGACCCTGACCAGCGTGGCTTCGTTGGGTGTTGCCCTGCAAAGCAAAAAGTCAGCGGTTTGATTCCCAGTCAGAGCACGTGCCTGAGTTGTGGCCCTGTCCCCAGATGGAGCATGTGCAGGCACTGACTGATGTTTCTCTCCCTCTCTACCTCCCCTTCCCCTCTCTAAAAGTAAGGAGATAAATAAACATTTCTTTCATAATGACAAATGCTCTAGTTTACAGGGAAAAGTTCTTGGGAAGCAGTTATTCTTTAAAGAGTTCTCAGAACGTTTCAAATAGATGTGATCCAAACAAGAGGAATAATGGTATTTGGGAACAGACAAAAGTTCATGGATAAGAATGAGAATGGCAAGTGAAAAATTAATAATGATGAACTACACCATGTTTTCCCACCTCTCAGACCGAAAAAATATTTCAAGTAGTAAAAGTTGTAAAAACAGGTTTCAAAAAGACCTCGAATATTAAATCCAAAAGTCAATGAAAAGTGTTACTGAGATGCCTTCTTCTTCAAGGCTCCAAGTGCCCTTGAAAGATTTTGTGATCAGTTACAAAGGGATAAGCAATAAGCTTATACAAAGTTAAGATAGAGGCATAAACTGAACATTTTAGTTTCCCCTTATAACCCACCACAAACCCCTCATTCAAAAATGTATTAAACTATTTAACCTACTTACAGTTTCAACAGGTATAACCCCTTAGAATGTGTTTTCTTAGATGTTCCACCCAAACTGATTTTTAAAAAATAAATCCTGTCACATATTTACTCTGAGCTTCTAAAGAAAATTTTAAAGACATTTTCTGCCCTGGCTGGTGTGGCTCAGTGGATTGAGCACCAGCCTACAAACCAAAAGGTTGCTGGTTAAATTTCTGGTCAGGGCACATGCCTGGGTTGGGGGCCAGCTCCCTGGCTGGGGGTGTGCAAGAGGCAACCGATCAATGTTTCTCTTGCACACTGATGTTTCTTTCCCTCTCTTTCTCCCTCCCTCTCCCTGTCTCTAAAAATGAATAAATAAAATTTAAAAAAAATAAAATCCTGAAATATTTTTAGCCTTCCCTCTAACTCCAGGGCACTGTATATAATTTTCCTCTGATAAAACTGAACTGTAGTGCATGAGTATCTTCTGACTAGTTTCTTCTCAAATAGTGCTCAAACTTGACCTACAAAAAAATTAAATGCACTAATCTATATGTACTCTAATTCACTTGTAGAAGATATTTAATCTAGATCAATTATCTTTGAAAAACACAGCTTTACTACTTATACTTGTACTATACCTACCTTTTAGGATTCTTGCTATGTGATCGAGACCTTAAAAAAAAAAAAAAAGTCGACTGTTAGAAAAGTATAAATGAGAATAAGAACAATGTGCTGTTAAAATTACATTTTTCCTGATTTTAATTTTATTTTATAAATATCATGCATGTGTGTGTGCACATAAAAATTTTAAAAATGTACCACAAACTTTACAGACTTCCCCATTTTGGCATATTAGCTCTCTTAACTAGGATGTCTGGCTCTTAAAGAGGCTATGCTCCTAGGAGACTAAAACACGGCACATTACAACCCACTAATTCTCCAGAAACCACCTTCCAATCCTGGAAAAATTCTGTTATTTATATCTCTGTCATTTCTTCTTTACCACTGGGAACAGGGTAAAATTTCTACAATCTGAGATGCATACACTTTGGATGTACAACCTCAAACTATAATCCCTGCAACACCCAAATTGATTTCACAACATGTTTCTTAACATGACACATAACACTCTTACACAGAACAATCTTATGTTTCCTAGCACACAGTTAACAGTCAATAAATAGTAATCGCCAATATTATAGTTACCAGAGTTACCAGAATGTTTTTGTGGAGACTGTATAGATGGCTGCAGCATGGCTTTGCATTCAGCCTGATGGAAGTTTCAACTCTGGTTCCACCATCCCACCATCTATGTGACGCTGGCAGATGATATATATTCTCCCTCAGTGCAGTTTGTTATTTGTAGAAGAGGGATAAATAACTCTCACAGGAGGGTTGTAAGGATTAGATGAACTACTAGAAGCAAATTCTTAGTCCAGTGCCTGGGAAATCCCACTCAGTGACAGTAATTTGTATCATTCTCCTTTTCAATAACCATAGCTGCAATTCTGTCTTGCGTAATTTTGAATTCACTCGCCATTTCCTCATCATCCATACTTAGTCACAGTATTTCCTCGAGATCAGAGATTTAAGAAACTTTTTAAAGACCGCACTGAAGTACATTATATTTTATAATCATTGTTAAATGAAATTTGCCAGGAGGCAACAAATGGGAGAGCACAGTCCTGCAAAGAGCTTTTCTTCTCATGTGACTCACCTCAGTTGAGCCATTTATGTAGTGGCACTACATTCAGTTGAATTTTAACTTCAACTGAGATTTCTAATGCCATTTACATTGTTTTAAGTATTATAATATTGGGCCACATGACCATCTGAACGTACAGGAAGAGAACAGCGGTGAAGCTCTGAGGTAAAACTTTTGGGAAGTGAAGAGCACGTCCCACCGGCGGAGGGATGACAGCACTTCCCTCATGGGAAGCTCTCCCCCCGCAGCTGTGTTTCGTTTTGCCATTTCGGTGCCATAAGCCACGAAACACAAAGGAAGTGAGTTCAAACGTCTTGAAACAGACTGAGTGTACAGCGCTCAGAGCATGGAGAAGGCTGGTGTGACCCTTCACATGCTACAGAGGCACATCTGACGAAAAGGTGTTTAAATTTCCGACGTGTAATATGACACGATGAAGGGAGCACTACAAATTAGAGCTATCAGAAAATCTTCTGTGGCGTGCCTGTCTGTCCCAAAGTTGTTAAAGAAGTTGTGAGCATGAGGTACAAAGAACGCTGCCAACACAGTGCCACACAATTTGTTGCCAATGGGTGAAAGTGATCCAGAACATTTAAACATTGTAAATACAAAGAGTTATGTGATTCTATCAACTAATGAATACCAATATAAAAATAATTATGTATGTTTATCTATTACTAAATAAAAATGTTAATAGCTTATAGCTCCTAGAATTGAAGAACTACAGAATAAAAATACAAAATAATCGATAAAACAAAGACACCAAACCTTTTATCAAGGATAAAATATATCATAAAAATAAAAATAGTTCTGTGACAACCTGGTAAAATCTAGCCCGTTATGAAAATCAGAGGGCTAGAAAAGGGCTTTTTTCCATGTCTTACAAAACAGAAAGATGTAAGGCGCTCTTTATTATACCTCTTCCACACATTTTGAAGGAAAACACCTTGACTTAAATGGCCATTAGTTAACATTCTTACATAAACATTGTTTTTGCATGGTAACATTTTAAAAAGTAAACAAAAATTTCCCATGTCCAGATTTATTAATGTCTGAAATCTTGTAGCAATCACATCTCTTTTTTAGAACCAGGGCTATTCAACTTCAGATGCTTGGACTATTAAATCCATTACTCCATACCTCCTCAACTTCTCCCTTTCTTCTCTCTCCCTTTCTTCTCTTCGCTTCAGGCGTTCCTGGTTTCTTTTCTCCTGCTTCTCAGCTACAACTCTCTTTAAAAAACAATGACAGTTTAAATAGTAATAAATGAGGAGCATTTTTTACTGGTTCCATTCTTAACGAGCATTATCCTATACTTCACCGTATCTGGTTTCTGGTATCACACAAGTAACATCAAAATCTGCTTGATAACAATTCAATTTTGACAGGTACCATCATTAGGCTTATAAGCCTGGTTTCCAAAAGCTTTCCTTTTGGGGAACATGTGTAAAATTTCTTAGTCCCCCATGACTTCATGATATTTCAAAATCAATTCTATAAAAATTTTTCTCCTCTGAATGTTTTCTAGTACTGTTATATTTTTTAAAAGAAATCATGTACTATAAATCACCATGCTGTAATGATTTCCAATACAGAAATATCTTCTGCCTCTTCCAATTACTATCCTGATATTATCGCTTTTAAAAACACAAGTGAAACGCTAAACAGTTCTGTTGCTAGCTAGGTATTCACAAAGAATCCCAAGTAGGTGCCACTTTTGAGTCCAATAACCACTTGCTAGAGTGAAACTCATTTTGTCATTTAAAATAACTCAGCTGAGTGAGATCATCCTAGCTACTCAGAATACCAAGAACTCTGCTTGTGTTTACCTCATCAGAGATACCTTTTCTGTTTGCTTATCTTCTTATAAGAGCTCAGCAGATGAGTAAGAACTGTGTTGCCTTTCTCACAAGAGCTTACGTATTTGACAGTGATTGTCCTTTTTTAAAAAAAAGGTTTCATTCATGTGTTCTAGAATTGTGCACCTGAAACCTGTGTAATTTTGTTAACTAGTGTCACTCAAACAAATTCAGTAAAAAGGAATGAAAGAATAAAAAGGTTTCATTCTAACTCCTTTTCTGAAACAGGGGCAGGAGTGTTAAATAAAAGTAGAGGGCCTACAGGCTTTCTATTTAGTGAAGAACTGCAAGATAGTTCAAATAAATATTGGACTCACTTTTTCAATCTTCTTTTAAAGTAAATATTACATTATTAATTAAAAAAATAAATTTACAAAACTTTGTAGAAAAGAATTAGTTCAGAACCAGTTTGCAAGACTCCTACTTTCTAATCATATCCAACCACTACCTCTGAGACTAAGGGGACAGTAATTAAAGGTCTGCTTCTCAAACATCATCCATTAAACCAGATGGTATCTCAATTTAAAATCTACACTGTTTAGTATGAATTGTTTAATAAAACCCACAGTCAAGAATACTATTGAAAAAAGACATTTAATACAGATCAAAAGAATGAGTGACTAAATTGGATAAAGTGAGAGATATAATTTACCAATATACCTTTAATTCTTCAAGCTTCTCTCTTATTTCAATAAATCCCAGGTGCAGTTTACCCCCAAAATGATCAGCCAGTCGTCTGTCATTATCATGAAGCCCTAAATAGGCAGAGCACACTTCACAGACTCGAAGTTTCTGCTGTTGGAAACTGGAGGCTGGCATAGAATTCCGGTAAACTTCCTAATAAACGAAAGAAAAACAATGTTCATATGAACCTCACTCAAAGTCATACAATTAAACAAATACATTTTTCTGATGAATGTAATGTTTTCTAATGAATACGCAAAAGCATGGCTATTTTGTCATTGAACATTACAGATTCCCCATTACCCACGATTCTGTGTCAGGACCTCATCCTGACACAGATCATACAGTATGATCTGTATCATACTGGAGATAAATGAGAGCCACAAATACTTTTTGCCAAGAACTGTACTGTATTTACCATGATATAGAACACTTTCCAGAAACGGTTTTTCCCAACATTTTGCAATGTTCTGTTTCCTATCATTTTTGTTAAAAATGAGCCCTGGCTGATGTGGCTCAGTGGGTTGGGCATCAACCTGCAACGCGCAAAGGATTGCCAGTCTGATTCCCCGTCATGGGTTGCAGTCCTGGTCCCCAGCTGCAGGCACGCGACAGGCAACTGATCGATGTTTCTCTCCCTGTTTTCTACCTCTCTTCCCCTTAAACATAATATAATTTTTTTTTAAAGAAAAAGAGATGTAACAATCCCAAAACTACACATCAGTCAAGGATCAAGGAAGTCGCCCATGCTTGCAGAGAAGGAACGCACATCTTGTATACTATTACAGCTTCCTTCCAGTGCCTTCTCTCCTACAGATCATTCCCTCCTTTGGAAATGTGGATGGGGCATACAAATAATAAACTTCCTACTAAAAGCAGTAGTTCTTTAAGATAAGAGATGAAAGATGCCTTACTGAGATTTAGATGGCTTGTATTCAACCATTTTATTTATATAACGTTCATTAACAAAATACAGTAATTAATAATTAGCAGGTTTGTGTATCCACTGTACCCTTTTTTCCTTACTGACAGAATTCCGATTTTTGTTTGAGGCAGCCAGCATACACAGGTAAAAACAATACAGTTCCAAGCTTCCATGTAGCTTTGACTAAGGAGCTGTAAGTGGATATTGCTGGACAGAATCTATAGGAAAAGTTCTTTAAAAGGGAGTCAAATTCAAACAAAAATCTCTAATAACCTGTGAATCAAAAAGTGATGGGAAACAGAATATTTACAGTTTCAAGAGTGTCAATCCAAAATACTTATTAGCACAGCAGAAAAATAGGCAACATCACCAGAAACGGGACAAACCCCTAACACGTGCCTCCTGTCAGGGTATAACACTGCTTCAGCGGTATTCCTGTCAAAGATCTAAGCAGGAATAAAAATCAGACAAACCCAAACTGAAGGACGTTTTACAAAACAAATGTGCAAGTAGTTTGTCTCTCCAGTAAACTGCGTATCACAATAAAAAGCCATCTCTCAAGGTTCTCTCCTGTTTTCATCATGTTTAGTTCAATTCTCTAAACCTCAAATAACACCATGGGGCCCATGTGAGGTGCCACTCGTGATTCTGGAAGTGCTCCCAATAGGCAGAGAGGAGTCACATCTTTACAAGAAAAAGCTGAGGTGCTTGACAGGTGTCATAAATTGAGGTCTGCAGCTGCGGCTGCCCACCATTTTGGGGTACATGAATCCAGTGTAAGAACCAGCGTTCAAAAATCAAACCAAACCAAACCAAACAAAAAAAAAAGGGAATTAATGAGGCTGTCACTGTAGCTACACCAGCAGGTGCAAAAATCTTTGAGTTTTTTAATGAAATACTCTTTTATCTCATATTGAAAATGCAACTTTCATGTGGGTACAGGATTGCTATAAGGCATACCTACAGACTCTAGTATGATTTGAGAAAAAGCAAAGTCATTCACTCTAAGACAATTTAAAGCAAAATGAAGGTGAAGGATGTAAAGCTAAAGAATTCCAGCAAAGGATGGTTTGATAATTCTAAGAGGTTTGGCTGTTTAAAAAATGCCAAGATAACAGAAACAGCTTCAGCCAACCAAGAAGCAGCAGACAATTTCCAGACGCCATTAAGAAAATCACTGAGGAGAAGGAGAATGTCTAAAGTTTTTAATGCACATGGAAGTTCCCTGTTCTGAGAAAAAATGACACAGAGGACACTAGCAAGGCAGAGGAGTGAGCACCAGGATTTAAGGCAGGAAGTGACAGGCTAACTACCCTATTGTACAAATGCAGTCGGGTAAAAGCTGCTAACCCCCAGGCCTTGAAGGGAAAAGATAAACACTAGCTGCCAGTCATTCAGCTGCACAAGTACGAGAAGAGAAGGCCTGGGCAATGGGAACCCTTTCTCTGGATTGGTTCTACTGATGCTTTGTTCCTGAGGTCAGAAAGTACACTGCCACCAAGGGACTGCCTTTTAAACTTCTTCTGATATGAGACAATGCCCCTGGCGACTCAGAACCCCATTAGGTCAGCTTGAAGATGTTGAAGTGGTCTACCTGCCCTCAACCACATATTTTACCCCAGCCTCTAGACCAGGAGTCGCAAGAATCTTTAAGGCTCATCACACACGGGCCTCTCTGGAAAGGATCACCAACGCTACGGAAGAGAACCCTGACAGAGGGAACATGATGAAAGTCTGGAAGGATTACACCACTGAAGGTGCATCGTTGTTACAGAAAAAGCAGTGGAAGCCATCAAGCCCCAATCAATAAATTCCTGCTGGAGAAAACTGTCCAGATGTTGTGCATGACTTCACAGGATTTACAACAACCAGGCAATCATGAAAGAGACTGTATGTCAAAAAAGATGGGGGAATCAAAGGTTTTCACGATAGGGATCTTCGGAAAATTCAAGAGCTAATGGACATTTTGTCACCATGCCTTGTAGGCCCCCCAAGCTGTCAAAAACTATGTACTTTCTTCCCATTTCAGTTACAGGAAAAACCTGAGAGAAGGAAGAGGGCCAGAACAACAAAAACCAATCAGAGTGGGCCTGAACCAAGATGGTACCAAAAATGACCTCCAAGAGACCCTGAACCTTCTTACCCCCCGATTATAATACATTAGCATGCTGACCGCCACCCCACTGGTGCCATGACAGATCTGACTGGGACCATATAAAAGGGGAAAAGGGGTGGTGCCCCACTTAAGGGAAGAGACCAGCCCATTCCTCAAAAACCAATGTATATGTCCCCCTCCCGTAGGAACCTCCCCCAGACTTCCGTAAAAAGAAGAGCTTATCTGTGGGTTCAACTCCGCCTCTCTATTCTCTGTCCACTGAATAAAGCTTTTGCTGCTGAATGCTCAGCTTCAGTTTTGTTTGTGGCTTGGCGATGCCAAACAGAGAACGAATGTTTGAAAGGACAGAGGGTACTTCCCTGGGACCGGGTCCCCACAGTGACAGCCTAGACGGTCTAAATTGGCAACAATTACACCAGAGGAATGAAGAGAGGAGTGCTTCCAAACCAGAACGAAACAATGAGGAGGAAGAGGTAGAAGCAGAGCCAGAAATCAAACTGACATGAGATAATCTGGCAGAAGTGTTCAATTGTTCAAGGCTGTGTTTGACTTCTTTTATGACATGGACCCTTCTATGACCTGGGCACTGAAATGAAACCAAACGGTGGAAGGAGGATTGGTACCATATAGGAACATTTTCAGAGAAATGAAAAAGCAAAAAAGCCAGACAGAGATTATGATGTATTTGCAAAAGTTACACCGAGTGTGCCTGCCTCTCCTGCCTCCCCGTCTACGGCTTCTGCCTCTGCAAACCCCGAGAAAGCAAGACTCCTCCTCTGCCTCCTCCTCCTCAGCCTACTCAGTATGAAGGTAGTGAGGGTGAAGGCCTTTATGATAGTCCACTTCCACTTAATGAACAGGACATAATCTTCATGCTTACAGTTCATAAACTCCACGTGCTTTCGTGTAAAAAGTCTAGTAAGTGCACTGCAAATACGGTAGCATGAAACAATTTTGGTCATCGCCGCTGCCTAGGTCATCATCATGTGGAACACCGTGCACAAGACTTGTATGGAAGTGGAGAGCCTATCCTTACACAGGCATAAAGTGGGTGATATTTAACAGAAAACATAATATGTTAGTTGTCTGTTTTATAAGTTTACTTTCAAGGAGTTACATTACCATACAGTATGCCTCTCTCATAATTGGAGAAACTGCATATTAGCCTATCATCACAGGTTAAGTAGTTTTTTAGAAGAACGTAACATTGTTTCTAATACATATCATGAATATAACTGAAATACTGTATGCCATAAAAACTTTACAATGATTCATTAGTGTATAGGCTAGGCTGTGAAGCAATCTTACCGATTACACTAGGCCAGCAATTTTGCAGTGGTGTGTCACAAGGATTTTTAAAACATGCAATACCTGACTAGTCAAGGGTACTGACTTCTTTTACTTTAGATTGTCAAAAAAAAGAAAAATGACAACAGCCCTGGCCAGGTAGCTTGGTTGGAGCATCATCCCATGCACCAAAAGGTTGTGTGTTCAATCTCCAGTCAGCGCACACACCTAGCTTGCGTGCTGGATCCCCGCTCGGGGCATGTACAGGATGCAACGGGTCTCCCCCTCTCCCCGCCTCCCCGGGCCCCATCCCGGCCCCTCTCTCTAAAATCAATACATATATCCTCAGGTGAGGACAAAAAAAAGAAGAAAAGACAACAGCCAACACAATAAGCCATTCAATGGGGATAAATCAAAATTATACCATTTTTTGTTAGATCTACAAAAAATGCATGTTTTGGCAAGCTACAAAATTTTAGTAATTTATGTGTGCAATGAAATGGAAAAGGTTGAAAATTGTTGCACTAGGCTATCACAAAACAATCATACTGCTACTTGTTCATTATTTTAGCATGAATTATTATACCTGTAAATAATGATAAATTTCTTTTCACATTATCTTTTCATTTCTGAAGTCTGGTGTTAGTAATATGTTAAATATATAGTGTTTTGTATCATGTAAGATAGTACTAATGTAGGCACTGAAGATGATTCATCTTATAAACAGATGACATAAACTTACAATATCAATACAGTATAGTATTGTAAATGTATTTTCATTTCTCTAGCTTACTCTATTGTAAGAATACATTATATAATACATATAATATATAAAATCTGTATTCATCAATTGTTTGTTACCACATCAATTGTTTATGTTACCAATAAGGCTCCCAGGCAACAGCAGGCTATTAGCAATTAAGTTTTTGGGAAATCAAAATTTATAAGCTGATATTCTACTGTGGAGGGCAGGAAATGCACCCCTGCATTGTTCAAAGGTCAACTATAAACCTTCAAGTACATATTTATGAAGTTTTATGAAAAGTGCAGAAGAATCACGTACGCCAATGACATCTTGGTCAGTGATGGACTGCATGTACAATGGTGGTCCCTTCAGCTTATAATGGAACCACAAAATGTCTACAGCCACCCTAACACATTACACAAACACTTGTCCCTGTTACAGTATTCAGTAGAGTAACGTGCTGTACAGGTTTGAAGCCTAGGAGATGTAACGGAACAGAACTTGTCACCCCAATATATGGGTATTTGGCATAAAGATTATTTTAGGTTGGTTAATTTTAAGTGAGAGCAGACATGGGAGAAGTTCTAAAAATCAAACAGAAGTTACCCTTTGTAAAGGACATATTTGTAAGGGAAATCTGCACTAGTAAGGGTATGCAGATACCAAGAAGGGAATGACCTTATTGACCTTATATCTAGAACTCAATGCAAAGGAGGACTTCAATCTGTATGACTGCCTTACCACCCTGGTTTTACTGTGCTTTCCCTGGAAACCTCCCGAACTGATTCCCCCAACCCTAGTATCTTCTGTTTTAGGCTGAAGATGGTATTTAAGGTAGTCAGCCATTTTGAGTTACTCAGTTTTCCTGGGTCTTTCCCTTGTATAGAGGAGGCATACATGTTAGTAAGCTTTTGTTTGGTTTTCTCTGTTTAATCTGTCTTTTATTACAGGGATGTCTCAGCCAAGAGCCCAATAGGGCAGAGGAAAAATTATTTTTCCTCCTTCTAGGGAAATAGGCTATACCATACAGCCTAGGTGTGTAGTAAACTGTACCACCTAGGTTTGTTTCAGTGCACTCTATGATATTCACACAACGATGAAACTGCCTAACAGAAAATTTCTCAGAAAGCAGTCCTGTTGTTAAGCAATTGTATGTGTAGCAAAGTAACAATATTCACTGGCTTCATTACCTGGGAGTCTTTCAGAGAAATAAACTAGCTATAAAATACTCTGCATTTTAAAATTCATAATGTTTACTGTCTGGACTCATAAATTACATTTAAAAAACCCTAAACATTAAGGCATTAAAATTATCAAAAATGGTTACATGGCATATCTTTTTCTATCCTATTACCTTTAATCTGTCTTTATATTTAAAGTGCATTTCTTGTAGCTAGCTTATAACTAAATCCTACTTTTTAAAAAAAATTCAGTCTCACAATCTCTGCCTTTTAAGTGGACTGTTTAGGCCATTTACATTTAGTGTAATTACTTGTACACTGGGTTTAAATTTCGCATCCTCATATTTATTTTCTGTATCTCTAATCTGTTGCTTGTTCCATCCTTCCTGCCTTCTTTTTGATTAAGTATTTTTTAGGAATTCATTTTATTTCCACTATGAATAATACCTTTTTTCCCCCTTGGAGTTTCTCTAGGGTTTATAGTACACAACTGTAACTTAGAAAGCTAGAGAGGCTTTATTAAAATCAAACAAAAGATTTAAGAACAAGGGATATTACCAGGAATATAAAAAGATATCTCACAAAAATATTAAGGGTTCAATTAATCAAAAAGATTTAACAGTCCTAAATATATATTAACATCAGCTTCAAAATACATGAAACAAAAAAAAAACCAAAATGGAAAACATAAATAGACAAATCCACAATTACAGCTGGGAGACTTCAACACTCCTCTCAGTAAACAGAATAAGTAGACAAAAAATCAATAGGATATAAAAACTTGAACAAATCAATTATGTCGACTCAACTGACGTTATACACATTTATAGCAAGGAAGAGTATCATTCTTTTGAGGTGCAGACAAAACATTCACCAGAGCCCTGGCTGGGTAGATCAGATGGTTAGGGCATGGTCCCGATACACCAAGGTTGTGGGTTTGATCCCTGGTCAGGGCACATATAATAATCAACCAACGAGTGCATAAATAAGTGGAACAACAAATCAATGTTTCTCTCTCTCTCTCTTCCTTTCTCTAAAATCAATTAGAAAAAGTTTTGCCGGACAGACCATATACAGGAATACAAAACAAGTTTTGACATAATTGAGAGAAAAGAAATCCACCGATGTTCTCTAACCACAACAGAGTTAAAATCAGTAACAATAACAACAACAAGTTAGGGAAAAACACCAAATATATAAAAACTAAAGATATTCCTAGATAACCCATAGGTCAAAAGAAGAAATCACAAGGAATACAAGCAAGTAAGCAATATTTTGAACCGAATTAAAATGAAAACCACCATGAAAACACGTGGGATGTAGCTACAGTTGTGCTTAGAAGAAAACCTAAAGCATTAAATGGTCTAAAATCAATGACCTAAACTTCAGCCTTCAGGCTGTAATAACAAATTAATCCCAGCCATGATGCAGCTAGACACCATAAAGACTACTGCAGAAACAGAGAATACAATCCCATATTTGGGCATTCAATTTTCTAAAAAGCAAAGTAGAATTTTGGGCCAAACAAAATAGAGCTGTCTGCAGGATGTCAGAGTTTAACCTGTGCTGTGGAAAGGTGAGAGGAGGTTCTCAAGGTGCTGAGCAGGTTGTACCAAGGTGAGAAGAGAAGGGAAGGTGCTATAGTCACATGGGAATAGAATGGGGGATAGGGTATCATGGCAACCAGGTACACGCAGTTGTGTGTGTGACTGTGCATCTGGTGTATGTGACTAGCTAGTTTACTTATTTACCAGTTATACATTTCATCATGTCAATGGCTCTAAATTCCAAAAACCATTAATTTTGATACATAACCCCTAGTATGACGTGAACTAATATTTTTAAATTGGTTTAATTTCTTAATAGTAATAACTTTTCAATATTCCCAGTCAAATATATGTTCTATAAGTACAGATACTAAGGTTCTGCATACCAACATTAAGAATTTTGTTACCTCTGCTTCTCTTTTCTTTGCCCGTGCTTTCTCTACTTCATCCATTACTTTCTGGGATTCTTCCACATTCCCTTCAGCTCCAAGTTGTTCCACCTTGGCCAACAATTTACCAATTTCTTCATTTAACTCATGAACACGTTCTGCCTAGAAAGAAAGAGAAAAGAAAATCATGAATAAAAAGCAGAGAAAGTATCAAAGTTCAAAATATTTCAGAAATGCTCAGAAAAGACTTAAATTACCCAAGGCAATATGAGTATAAATAATGCTTTCTGAGCATATCAAATGAATCCGTGAGCCACTGGGATATTTTCAGCCTGCCTTCACTTTGGTGAGGTCAGAAATATGTGTGGTCTCTATATAACTATTACTTTCCAGCCTCTGTTTTGGCAACATATTCCAAGTATAAAATAGCTTTTCTTCTATAACCTGCACCTTTCTAAATCATCTCTTGTTGTGTCCTCAGTTAACAACCAAAGTCTACAGTTTCCCAAACTTACCATGCTGCTTTCTGCCTCTGTGACTTTGCATATACTGTTCCCTCCTTCTGAGATGTTTCCCTTACCTCCCTTGCCTGACTAGTGAATAGTCTATTCTGTGAAGCATTCCTGATCAATCACATCTCACCTTCACACTTAAACACAGAAGCAGAGAGCCATATCCTCTTTTGTGTTACCTGTCTTTTTTGACAATTTTTATGTATATATCATGTTGCTTTAAAGGTAGCTAGCTATATTTTCCATCTTTGTATTTCCAATGTCAAATAGCATAAGCTCAAATATGAGTTAAAGAAATAAAGTGGTGAATATTCTTTCAAGCGAAGATGAGGCTTTAGAGCCCAACAGATCTGGCTTATGGCCAAATCAGTTACCAAGTGTGCAACTGTGATCATATTCCTTCACCTGAATCTACTTCCTTATCTGAGAAGTAGAGATTAGTATCTATCTCACAAAGCTGTGAGAAATGAGAAAATGTGCCTTGCATATACACTGTGCAGCACATTATTGATTTTCAGTATATCAGCGCGGCACCTCCTCTCCCTTAGTCCATGTCTTAATGCTGGAATTAATCCTTGCCTTGGGATTTGATATGCCTCCTTCTCCTCCTCATCAGCACCACCATAATCCTGGGAACCTAGTTCATTTTTTTTAATAGCCCTTGATACATATATATAGTCTTTATTTTGGCAACAAATAAGTATTTATCCTGTGTGACCAATTATATTAGCAAAGAAGGTTCTAATTTGATATGGATATGCAATCCCAACAAACTAATGTGCCAATCATCTTTATTTCTCAAATTTCCTTCAATGCAAGATACTTGCCCCTCAAAGAAATTACCAACTCTATTGTCATTACCTCTTTAACAAAGTGGTATTTTTCTTTAAATATCTGTCATGGAATGATTGTATAAATGCCCAGAACTCTTCACCCTTCCCTGTTTCCATGCCTTTTGCTATTTTACGAAGTATCATCACACTCCGAATCTGAACTTGGACACATGACTAACAGGCTTCGGTTAACAGGACGGTAGCAAACATACTACAAGGGATGGCTTGAAGGGGTATTTGACTGGGCTTGATGCTTTTGCACCTCTGCTCTCTCCAAGAGAACACAGTTTGGTAGCCTCCAGTGGACTGAAAGGCATGGGAGTGAGCCCATGGAGTGACTGCCCAGTCAGGTTCAGCCTAAATAATTGACTGTAGACTCATGAGCTAAAAAAATACTTACTGTTTTCAGTCACTGAGTTTTCAGGTAGTTTGTTAAACAGCATTTTTGTAGTGATGGATAACCAATATCGCTTGGGGTCTAGCCAGCACTTGTGGATCCCTGTCAACCATGAGATAGTAGATACCTTGTACTTTAGGATGCCCATCTTTGTAGTCCCCATCTTCAGAGAACTTTTCAGAAAAAGTTGGTTGAAAGTAACCCTTTTCTCAAATAAGGGCATTCATTTTCCTTTGTACATACATAGCTAAACACAAGAGTTAATGCTATTATTTGAACTCTCTCTGGGTAAATCGGATTCCACTCTGCATTTTCATAAAACGTACCAGACTATATTAAATAATGAAACAACAGAAAGATGAGTTTTGAATTCACGGGGATTCACTGTACTCTTCTCTCTACTTTTGGTGTATAAGTTCACAGTAAAACATTTTTTTAAAGTAGTGAATAAAACAGACAAAACTCAACAGTTAAAAGATGAACGTTCCATTGGGAAAATGGGCAAAAGACATACAGACATTTCACTGACGAGGATCTACAGATGGCATATAAGCACATGAAAAAAGTGTTCAAAGTCATTAGTCATTAGGAAAATGCAAACTGAAACCACAATGAGATATCACAACACACCTTTCAGAATGGAGAAAATAAAAATGACATCATCTCATGCTGCCACAAATGTGGAGAAAGAGGAACACTAACATATTGCTGGTAGGAATGTAAAATGGTATAGCCACTTCAGAAAAAAGTTTGGCACATGCTTTCAAAACTAAAAATGACCTTACCATATAACCTGTCAATTGCACTCTTGGGTATTTATCCCAGAGAAATGAAAACTTATGTCCACACAAAAACCTGTACATGAATGTTTACTGCAGCTTTACTGGTATTAGCCAATACCCAAATGTCCCCTTGAATATGGGAATGAATAAACTGTAACACATCCATATCATGGAATACTACTCAGAAATAAAAAGGAATGAACTACTGATACAACATCTTGCATGAATCTTAAATTGTACTGAGTAAAAATAGCCAGTCTTAAAAGCATACATACTGCATGATTCCATTTATGTAATATTAGGTGAAATAACAATTATAAAGATGGAGAATAGCCAGGGACTAGGGGAAAGCGGGGTGTGTGGCTATAAAGGGGTAACAGTTAATGTAATTATGGTAGTAGTTATCCAAGTTACACAGGTAATAAAGTTGCACAGAGCTACACACACACCCCCACACACCCCGCCCCCCTCGTGTGCATGCATAACTGGTGAAATCTGAACAAGACGCAAGGACTGGAGCAGAATTAATTTCTTGGCTTTGATAATGTACTATAGTTGTGTAAGGTATGTTAAAATAGGGGAAGCCAGAGGAAGGGTACTCAGATTTCCCTGCATATCTTTACAAGCTCCTGTGAGTGTAATTGTTCAAAATAAAAAATTAAAATTTGAAATTATATTTTGTATTACTGAAAAGACTGAAATTCTTACCTTTGCTGCCACTTCGGCACTAATCTCTTCTTGAGTTTCTGCCAATCTTTTCTTAGCCACTTCTGTTCTTCGATCACAGTCTGCAATGAATGACTGCAGATGATCCATAGCCTACAAAGTTTAATTAAAACACCATTACAGCCAGGAAGAAAATCAAGTTTTTCTCAGAAATATCTTTACACAAAAATTACAGTTTTTAGAAATGCCACTATGGGAGTAAAAATATAACAAAAGTAGATTCAATTATGACTCAAAAACACTATCCATCATCAAATTGGGATAGAGTAAATAGAAATAATACTCACTGAAGGTAGCACAAACCAGTGCAGCCTTTATAAAAAAGCAATATAGTAATAGGTATCAAATGCCTTAAAAATGTCCTCGAATTTAGCAATTTTACTTTCAGAAATTTGTTTTAAGAAAGTAATCAGATATATGGAAAAATTAATATTCAAAGGTGTTCTTCACAGTGTTATTTTTAATGGAGAAAAGTTGTAAATATCCTCAAGATCCAGATATGTAAAAATTTAGATCTTTAGTAATTAAAAAAAAGTTTTTAATAGAACACTTTAGGGACCAAGAAAACGTACAGGATTCACTTATAAAAAGTTACAAAATGGCCCTGGCTAGTGTGGCTCAGTGGACTGAGCACTAGCCTGCAAACCGAAAGGTCACCAGTTCAATTCCTAGCCAGGACACAAGCCTGGGTTGTGGGCCAGGTTCCCAGTTGGGGGCACATGAGAGTCAACTGATCAATGTATCTCTCACACATTGATATTTCTCTCCTTTTCTTTTTCCCTCCCTTCCCCTCTAAAAGTAAACAGATAAAATCTTTTAAAAAAGTTATAAAATATTATATGCAGTAAGATCCCAACTTTGTAAAATAAAGAAGCAAAAAAAGAAGTTAAAAATAATTACTTCTGAATATATGGGTATGTCATAGTTTTTCAAATTTTCCGAAATGAAAATGTTACAGGAAAACTTGAGAAGTTTATCAGTACTGCATTGCAAAAACCTAATTCCATATTTATATGGGATACATTTGTCAGTTATATATTAATATGTCTATTATTAAATAATTCATTTAAAAGTAAACTTAAGATTTATTCTCAAGTTAAACAGTTTGGACTTTCATCTTACTGTACAAAAAATACAGCTAATTTAAAACATAAGTGTTTTAATTAAAAATATAAATTCACTCAGCACATACTGAATTCTAAAAATGGTTAGTTAACCCAAGAATTTCTTGAAACTGAAAAGCAATAAAGCTCACCTAAAGGTTTTCTCTGTAGTAAGAAGGGAAAAAAAATCAATTTAACTCTTCTAATTTAAAATTTTATCTTTAAAATTACAACAGAAATCTATTAAAATTTCCCTATGGAGAGAGAAAAGTGGCATTTCAAAGCACTGAGAGAGAAAAAGTGGACTAATCAATAAACAGTACTGGGCCAAGTAAGTAGCTATCTGGAAAAAGAAAGCTAGATCTATACCTCAATTCCTTACATTAGAGTAAATGAAAATATCAAAGATTTAAGTGAATAAAATTAAGCCATAAAAATACCAGAAGAAACTATGGGAGAGAATTCATCACCTCGGAATAGGGAATGCCTTTTGAATTAATCCAATAGATTTTTTAAGATTAATGAATTAGACAACATAAAAATGTTCTGCAAGGCCCATAACCACCAAAAGAAAAATAGGAACAAAACTGCAACATATTACTTAAGGGAAGGGACTAATTTTCAATATGTAAAGATTTAGTACAAATCGACCAAAAATGGTAACATCTAAGATTAGCCACTAGTGAAAAAATAGCTGTACACCAACAGTTCTCTGAAAAGGAGATATATATGAAATATATTTAAACTCATAAGAGAAACACAACTACGTTTATATTGCACATTTCATCTACCAAAGTTGCAAAGAAACCTCGACGATACACTATGTGGCCATATGGGAAATAAATAACCTCATATGGACAAGATCTGTCCTGAAAATGTCCAGCCACTGTTAATGTGGGAGTGGTTTTTGTGACATTGATGTAACCTGGCGGAGGTGGGGGAGTGGCTGCACTGGACTGGAATGAGCATGCGTGAACAATGACAACTTCACCATACTCAGTGGTGGCAGTAGATGCCAATGAGTGAGCACGTGTACTGTGTGGCTGTCGTATTCAACGTGACTGAGAAAGTAGAGCAATGTATCTGAATCAAATTTTGTGTTAAACATTCCTCCACGCAAACAATCTGGATGATTCGGAAGGCCACAGCTACGGGCAACTGGCAATTGGCAGCTTCATCACCACAATGCGCTCATGCTTCCTGTGTAGTGCAGTTTTCTGGTGAAACATCAAATCAGCCAGGGGACCCATGCCCCCTACAGCCCAGATTTGGCACCCTGTGACTTCTGGCTTTTCCCAAAACGAACATCACCTTTGAAAGGGAAGAGCTTTCAGATCATCGATGAATTCAGGAAAATATGACAGGGTAGCTGTTGGCAATTCCAAGAACTGTATGAGGTTCCAAGGTGCCTACTGTGAAGGGGACTGAGGCATCACTGTCCTATGTACAATGTTTCTTTTATCTCCGTAATAAATGTCTCAATTTTTCATAGTACATGGCTGGATACTTTCTAGATAGGCCTTGTGTATGACTGGTAGGAGTATAAATTGATAATTTTGATGGCAAGCAACTTGGCAAAATTATTCTTTGATTCAGTTATTCTATTTCTAAAAACTCTTTCTATACACTTAACATGTAAAAATACATTATCATACTCAAATAGAAAAAGACTGAAAATAACCTAAATATCTACACGCTTACATCTAGACAGTAAATTTCTCCTTATTTTATGCCCAGTGTGTACTAAATCATAACCCAATTACTTTAAGGTGTTTCTCCCAATTGTTTCAGCCCCATATTAAATTATATTTTCATAGATGGTTTTCATTTCCACCAACAGAAATTCTTGGAAATTCAGAGAAGTAGATGGGGAGGCCCACTTACTGCTTTATCTCTCAAACCAAATAAAACACCTATTACCTCACTGGTAAAAAGTATCATAAGACTTATGCTCACCAGTTTGTTTTATGTAATGCTGATTGGTATACTTTATGTAAATACAAAGAAAAGATTTCCCTATTTTTATACAATTCTCATGTTTATAGGGAAAAAAGAACAATAGTGCTCCCGTTGGCAGCACTTATATTAAAACTGGAAAAATACGGAGAAGATCAGCATGGCTCCTGCACAGGGACGACATGCAAATTCATGAAGTGCTGCATATTTTTAAAAAAGGAAAAAGATTTAAAAAAATATAGAGAGAGTCTGATTTTGAGCCCCTCAAATACCTAAATGGTATCTCTTCTAACATTTCTTCTGTTAGTTTTAATAGCTTTAGTATCTTCCCTCTCTATGTGTATATTTACACATATAAAAGTATAAATGTAAAAATTATGTGCACTAGAAATCAGTTGTTTATATTTGCTTGAATAAATACTTCCTCAATCCTTGCTACTTTATTGGGAAAAATATGCTTAATTTTCAAAAGACTACGAGCATATAAACTGCATTAATTTTACATATTTTCTTAAATTACCCAGTTTCACCTTGTACTTTCTAAAAATGTTGTTAGGCCCTGGCTGGTGTGGCTCAGTGGTTTGAGCACCAGCCTGAGAACAGAAAGGTCTCAGGTTCTGATTCCCAGTCAGGGCTCATGCCTGGATTGTGGGCCAGGCCGCCAGCTGGGTCGTGTGATAGGCAACCAATCAATGTCTCTCTCACATACTGATGTTTTTCTCCTTCTCCTTCTCCCTCCCTCCCTCTCTCTCTAAAAGTAAATAAATAAAACCTTTAAAAATGTTGTTAGTCAAGAAGTACACGGTATTACTAAACGTAGTATTGCCCTTCATAAAAACCAAGAAAATAATTTGCTAAGAATCCTTTCCTATTAAGAGAAATTAATCCATATTCAAAATGTTTTACTGTGAAAGATAATCTAACCCATTAAAGCAAAATCACATACATCAAGTTCAAAGAAAAAATCTTGTTCTTTGGATGCAATTTCATAATCCGCTCTTAAAGCCAGGTCATGGACTTTCAGACATTCTCCAAGATCCATTCTCTAGGAGGGGAAAAAAAGGGTACATATTATTTAAACAGAAAACACATTTTTCAAAATTCATTAAAAACCACCGTACTCTCCAGAATATATATATATATTAAGTCATACAGATGCTTCTTTGTTTATGGACTTTCAAATTACCAAATTTCATAGACAAGTATTAAAATTTAGTGCCAGAACAAAAGGTATCAAGTCTACCCACCAACAGATGGGAACAGTGACCACTTTTGTACTTAAGAACAGACAAGGAAAAGCCTGTCAGAATCTGAACAAAGCTGGGAAAAAAGCTCTTGGCAACAACATGAATATGTGCGTAACAAAGGATATGACCTTCAATCCTGTACACTATCTCACATTAAAAAGGACAGTGAATTCACTGCATTTAAGGTTCACAAACACTGATAGACCAGATAAAATTTCAAACAAATATGAAGTCCTACAGTTATATCTAAGATGACAAATTTATAAATAACTAGGTATGAGCAAAAAATGAGACAAGTTAAAAACTTTACTCGTCAAGAGTAAGGCTTACAGTGTGGCATGACTGAGATAAATTAACTTTTAGGACACAGTATGAGCAAAGTGACAACCCTTACTGAAGGCTGATTTCAAAAGTAAACCCTTTCCCTTCCACAAGACACATTTTGTGTGCTAACACAGGTCAAAGGGGATATAAGTAAACTAGACAAAATGTGTCAAAACCAAGCTATACAAAATAGCCAGAAATCAGAGGTAATCAGGTGGAGAAGAATCAAGATGCGAAGGACTTTACAGTATGCAACAGAATTGGATTACATGGCCCCATGGGGCTCCGCAGACTCAGATTTTAACTCCCTCAATGTAAGAAAATAGTTTCTAATGAATGTCCAGGGCTTTCCGAAGACGGAATAAGCTTCCTCACGAGTCACCAAATTACCAGATAAATGAGAGATTCACACAGTTTCAACAAACATTTTTCTAGGATATTGAGGAAAGACTTCAACCACCAAGCAGCTTTTACTCTTCCAACTCTGGGGTTTTATGACTACCTAAAAAAATTGTCTCTGTAAAACAGTATTCTCTTAGTTAACTACAAAAAGAAACAGATGGGAAAACATAAGTAAACAATATCCTCAAAATTATCCTTTGGGAAATTACAAGGAATATCCACCACTAGTAAAGAAGTCCTCATCACAGTAACGGCTCTGAAGTGTCACTGTGTTGCTGATTTTTCCAGGCCCCATGGCTTATTCTCATTCATGAGGCTGTCGGTTAACAAATCAAGGAGTTTTCCAGTAACAATAAACAGCAACTGAAACTTTCTATAAATGTGTGGAAACTGAAAGCTTCTTTGTTAAGCAACTTTTGCTGGAGAAAGGCTGTAGGAAAAAACCTTTAGTATTCTTTTAAAATGCAGGAAAACATGACTAGAATGAATAAAGTTAATAGCAAAACAATGTTGTTAACATCTTTGCTACAACGACCAATTAGTTTCTTAATTTGTATTTTAAGATTAATCATTCCAACAACTCCCTATGCATTTCTATGTAGCTTTTCCATAGCTACGGTTGCTCATGGGAGGTGTTACATATTTCATAAAAGGTTAAGAAGTCACAGTTGGAAATACCTTTGATTCAGTGCAGTGATTCTCAACCTGGATCCAGGGACCTTTTAAAAAATGCTGATGAAAGCTTTTGAAAAAAAGCCCAACCTTCCCTTCCCTGAAGACTGAATTATAAAAGGCTCCCAGGGGTTTTTAATGTACTGTGTACTTAACAGAAAATCTGGTAGATATTTCTAACCTAACAAATACTCCTTCTACTTTGTCATGCTAATTCCAATTATTTCACTACTAACTTATCTTTTAAGATTTTTAGATAGCAATCACCTCCCTGAAGTATCTAAAAGAGCTCCACACAGCAGATCTCCCTCTGATTAACCATATTTCCAATCAGTTCTCAACAAAAACTTAAAAGTAACACACTGTATTTTGTCCTGTATAATGTGTGCCCACATTTTTGGCCCAAACTTTCAGGGAAAAACTCTTTTGTTTTAATTTTATTTATTTATATTTAGAAACAAAACTGATTATCATATTCCAGGGTAATTTTGCATGTGGATATTTTTATTGCTTTCTAGAGTTACACTTTTTTAAAAATTTTTTTATTTATTTATTTTTGGAGAGAAGGGAGGGAGAAAGAGAAACATCAAAGTGTGGTTGCCTCCTGTGCACCTCCTACTGGGGACCTGGACCTCAATCCAGGCATGTGCCCTGACTGGGAATTGAACTGGTGACCCTTAGGTTCACAGGCTGGTACTCAATCCACTGAGCCACACCAACCAGGGCTACAGTTACACTTTTAATGCGTAAGTATAAACAAAAAAATTAAAAAATATTTATATAGATACAGAATTAGAACTACCCATGTATAAGGTGCATCTTTATTTTTCCCTCAAAAACCTGGGCAAAAACCTGGGCAAAAAACTGTGCATTATACATGGCAAAATACAGTGTATATATCTTGCTTCACTGTGTTTAATCTAAAAATCTACTGCCTACTCAAACTACCCTTTGGCAGGAATTCCAGGTTTCCCTTCATGCTATCTTTAAAGTTACATCATATAACCAACCAAAGAAAGAAAATCAACTATGTTCATCAAGAATAAAATGAACACCTAGAAGGACAAAATTATACCAATGCAGTAGAGGTAAAAGTTTAGGTGGGAGGAGTAGAATTAAAGGGAATGTATGCCTTGGGATGGGAGGTGGTTGTGTGGAGATTATAGAAGGGAGAAAGATTTATTAACTCAATAGAATGTGAGCTCCACAGGACAAGAATTCTTTTTGTTTTATCGTCCACGTACCTGTACCTGGTATATAGAAATATCTAATATTTATTGAATGAACCAATCTGGGAAAAGAGAGATGAATATTTGGCACAGGGGGCCCTGGGCTTAACAAGCAAGGGTAGTCAGTAAGCACCCAGGACAAAACTGGCCTAAGCTCTGGAGGGCCGTCTTAGCCTCACCTTGGGCTATCTCCTTTGCTTGGACCCCTTTCCTTCTTAAGTGTTTCCAGCCACTCCTCTCTTTTTTTGTACCTGTTCCTCTCCTCCAGGAGCTAAACTACTTGGGCTTTTTACTACTGTGGGTGACGAGCACCTGCAACCTGACAGTCTAGCCTGGCTCACCATAGATTTTGGGCCCATAGCCCTAGAAGACAGGGCCTAGCTAATATTTACTTCACCCTGTCCATACCATGGTGACTAAGCATCTACTGTGGCACTGCGCCATGCACAGGAGAATTTAAAATAATAAACAAACAAACCAAATGAAACCTAACAATTACCTACCATTCATCATTCAAATGAGTGAAGGGAAAGTATGCCTATGTCAATGGTCTCTGAGACCGCAGTCATCTTATTAAAAACCAACCCTGACTTCATCACTGATGTGTAATAGTGCTTTGGACACTAAGTGCCAAGGTGTTTGCTGCTGCAGCTTCTCTTTTGAAATGAGCGAGCTTCAAACTGGATAAAATAAAATGTTTGGTTATTTTCACTTAAAATTACTTTGTGATGAAAGCCACATGAAGAGTTTTGTATTATTAAATTTAACAAGTAGTTTATTTTATAATTAAGTTTTGCCGTAAGTTTTTTCTTGGTATTTTAAATAAAGACATTCAGGCCTGACTGGTGTGGCTCAGTGGATTAAACGTCGGCCTGTGAACCAAAGGGTTATCGGCTCAATTCCCAGTCCCAAGGGGGTGCACGAGAAGCAACCACACTGATGTTTCTCTCCCTCTCTTTCTCCCTCCCTTCGCCTCTCTTTAAAAATAAATAGATAATTAATTTGGGCTTTTAGACTGTAAATGGAGAAAAATGCTGACAGTGGAACCTGGGTTCTCGAACTTCATTTGTTCCAGAAGGCTGTTTCTAGAAGCCATTTGTTCAAAAACTGCATCATTTTCTTCCCTTTAGAAATGCAGGTATCAGCGCTGAAAGGGTCATACATAGGGTTGAGAACAGAAGTTCTGCTCAACACCTTAATTGTTCAAGAAACAAGACATTCAAGAACCAAGGTTTGACCACTTTTAATTGGATAAATTCAGTTCTGTATTTTGTCTTCTCCATAGTATCTATACATGATATTGATAACTTCCAACCTTAGAGTATTTTACTGTTTAACAGATGATTCTCTTAAGTGCTTTGTAATTATTCTTTTGAAATTCCAAAAGTGAATATTATCTCCTCAAATGAACTTCAAGCTTCCTGAGAAAAAACGGTGTTATTCCACCCTACATAAAAGAATAGGTTTTAGACAACCCATGATTATTAAATAAACTTGAAAATTTGACTAAGAAAATGTATTTTTAAGAACTTGAGGAAACAATAAGTATAGATAAATAGATAGAACTTAAAAATGGTGTTTTTGATCTAAAAATTAGAAACATTTTAAGAGTCTAGCAACAGAGGTTTGACTGACTGAATTATAAACTAGCCATATGACACATTACAGAGCCATTACAAAAATGTTCTTGATGCTAAGTGGAGAAAAAAATGGCAGAGAGAGACATAATAAAATGCCTTTTTAAAAAAATCCTCACCAGAGAGAGTATGTTCATTGATTTTAGAGAGGGGAGAGGGAGGGAGAGATTGAGATTGAGAGAGAGATTGAGAGAGAGTGAGAGAGAGAGAGAGAGAGAGAGTAGGAAGGAAGCGGGGAGAGAGAAAAAGAGAGTGAAACATTGATGTGGGAGAGAAAGATAAATCAGGGGCCTCCTGCACGCTCCCTGACGGGGGACTGAACCGGCAATCTAGGTATGTGCCCTGATGGGGAATCAAACCTGCATCCCTCTGGTGTACAGGACGACGCTCCAAACAACTGTGCAACCCAGCCAGGGCAAAATGTCGTTTTTGTAAATTCAGATACAGACACTGCTGTGATGTTGGTTTGTATGAACTTTTTGGTATCAGTTAAATTAAATGCACTGAGCATGTATTATTCTTATAATCAGAAAG